CTTTACTCCTTTATTGATCTGTGGTCAACGACGTCAAAGTCGTAACGCTGTTGACAAACGTTAGCGCACCTAACCAACATTGTACTGCCGTGCCGGTTTGGCTTCGCACCGAATCATCCCTTCCCGCTTCATCTCTCTGGTCCCTTTATCCATGTGAAAAGTCACTGTGATTTATATATCATGTAGAACGATGTAACGTCAACGCTCAGGTTTCGCAACGGACCACCACACATCATGAAATCTCACTCTATGTGTCAATAAATATACAATTGTTTAGTTGCTGAGCACGAAACTCTCCCTAACTATACTATAGCCAAAAAAGTGATTAGCATTTAAATATGTGTTCCTCAACATAAATGTAATACTCTTCTGAAACACTCATTGATATTATTCAATCAAATTAATTGTAACACGTTTCCTTATATTAATTATAATAACAATAAAGTTTATTTCCTATATTACAAATCAATTCTTTGGTGTTTAAAACTTCAATAACTAGTTTTATATAATTCAATCTGAAGCAGATATCACATAGATCACAGTTGTAAACTGTATAAAAAAACATATCAATATCTTAGTGAAAACAAAGAAACTTTTAATGTCAGGAATTATTTTAACAAATTCAAAACAAATATTTCTCCAATTTTAGCAAACTTCAGGAAAGGGGTTCCCAACTTGACTGGTTTTTTTGTACATACGTTTTGCGATGCCTTTGTTAATAAGTCAAAGGATTTCAATTATTCTTTTTTTTAATAGACTTTTAATACCCCATCTAAAAAAGGGGTCCCCATATAAATTTGAAGAAAAAATTTGGTGGAAAAATAGGGTATGAAAAGTTTTATTTTAATTTAGAGGACATTTGGATCGCTTAGTCTACTCGAAAGGGTCAAATTAATCAATCTTATAAAGAAAGTAAAAACTGACTTCAATAAACTAAAAAGAATAAATTATGTGAAAACTATTGTATTTTTTTGTTTTGAATTTAAAAAAGTATTTCAATCAAAAATATCAATCCAAACCGTAAACATTATAGAGTATAGGATTATGAAAACCTGAGGATAGACTTACACTAATATATAAATCAAATTTTAAACTAATGTGATAGAGCCATGCTGCATGTACATTATGGTTTTAGAACGAATGGTTCGGCTCGACCGAGGAGGGACCTCGCTTTCACAGAATAACAGCGAAAAATCTTAGACCTCAGGGGTGACAAAGCATTTCGTTCTTTCGAATGTTTTATCGAAATGTTTTTCTGAAGGTTTCTTCAGAAAATCATTTCGATTGAGTTGCAGGTGTATTGTCAGCCTTTTAAAAACTTAAAAGTAAATATAAAAAATTAAGCAATGTCTACATTTTTATATAATTAAGTATTTAGTATTTTTACCAATAAATTGTCAAAGTATCATAGTCATTAAAATATAACATCTGTGCGACCAAGCTTTGCTCGGTATTAGTAAAAATTGTTATTTTCTAAAAAAACGACCACCTATCTAGATAAACTTCGATATTTTATCCAAATCCTTACTTTCCGAAAAATTTATTACATAACATAATATATATATATAATTACATAATATTCAAACGAGCAATTCTTGTATATTCATTTATGCGGAATTTCTAATTTATAAAGGATTAAATAATAGTAAAAGCAACAGTAGCCTATTGGGTACGGACTGCCAACTATATAAATTCGTAGGCACCGCCACTCAACTTCTGAATAGTTGCTAGTACAAACAATCTTTAAAACTAATATATATTAATATATAACATATTTTTAACTATAATGTTTTTGCTTTTTTTTACGTTTTCAAACTATTTTGTTACTATTTTAAGTTTCTTAATATTTTATTTTACTATTGTTAGCTTATCTTATAATTTTGAGAGCTCAGTCGGCTTTCGCAGATCAGTCACGGCTATAGTTCTTGTAAAATATAACATGTAATATAAATTAATAATATACGATTTATGGTAACAATAAACGTCAAAGTAATAAATATTGTTTAGCTTATGATAAAGTTTATATTTATTAAAATTTTTCGTTTATAGCAGATTAATATATATTTACAAAGTTAGAATAATTAAAATTATATCATTAGGTCCTTCATTTTTGATCATCACAATATAGTACCAAGTGAATACAGATATTTGAAAGTAAAAAAAAATTATACAATATTTAAATAAAAAACAAAAGGCAAATAAAACTTTTGATTTTGGAATTCCTGTAATCAAATAAAAGCAATGAAAATTACAGATATCACTTCTTAAAGTTACTTTATCACAATGCTAGCGTGAACATACGCTTCAAGTGTTATAAAATATGTTACTCTAATAGCATCGTAGTGTTTATAAAAATACTCAAATTTCGGAACCTTACTTAAAGCATGAAGCAAATACAAAGAGGAGACGTTGTAATTGAATTTCACTATGTAACAACGCATGACAATTTGCGGGGTGAGGGGATGCAAAGCCCCGCCCACTTTACACTATTCTACATCTACCGATAAATAGTAAAACTACTCGAATCTTTCCATATCGATGTTGCAATGTAGCTTAGCTATCTTGACGGTAGATGGCGGCATGTCCACAAAATGTTATAAACTATAAAAATAATATATTGGCGATTAAAATTTCTTTATGTCTGAATGCAAAACAAATTTCAGCACCTTCGTATGATTATTTTATCATTACTGAGCTCTACGTACCTTTATATTTTTAGTTCACAGGACACAAAGTGTCGCCATCTAGTGTGGAATATATTTAATTATATTTGAAAGCCGACGCTTTTTCGGCGGCTTTGACGGCGTTTTTTCTAGAACTATTTTAATCAATTAGGTGTAAAATTACTTACAAATGAAATATGATGCCATCCATAGCATCGGAGCGTCTATCTCATGGAGCAAATACATTCAGACAAAGAAATTTTAATCGCCAACATAATATTTTTATAGTTTTCATAATAATTTTGGGAACAGGCCGCCATCTACCGTCAAGTAAACCTCATAAAAAATAACAAAAAGACAGGTCCGCAATTAGAATTCAATTATTTTACTCAGTAACCCAACATTCAATATTAAAATGAAGGAAATTGTACATGGCTGATTTTTACGAAATGTTTAAGTTTTATTTAAGTGATATTCGTAAGTAGGATATTTAATTTGGCACTAAATATCCTACTTATTTCACTAATATTATAAAGGCGAAATTTTGTGTGTTCTTTCTGTCTCCTTGAGCTTATTCCACACTAAGTATGTGTAATTTTTTCACGCAGAAACGGCTGGACTATTATTTATGTGTGGGTTATACTACTTAATATCTCTGAGGGAGAACAAATAATAGACAAATTATTATAATTAATATAATTTTATTTACAAATCGATTAAAATATAAATATTTTATTCCAAATTAGGCATCCGAATGCACTTTTTGAATGCCAATCTAAGAACATTAAATTGTATTTAAGTGATTATTTGCATATAGAAAGTCACTTAAATATAACCTAAACGTTTCGTAAAAATCAGCCTAAGTACAATTTCCTGCATTTAATATTAAAAGTTGGATTACTGGGAAAAATAATTGAATTCTAATTTGGGCCCTGTCTTTTTGTCATTTTTATGAGGTTTACTTGACGAGAATACACAAATATACAAAAATACACCGATTTACGATTTTTTCAACACATAAGCGCATAGGACGAATGCTGACAGTATACTAACTAAAGCCACGCCCACTATGATGACGTCAGGACCTACTTAGAATCACAGTGCACAGTTGCTTATGCCGTCTCCCCTTTGTATTAGCTTCATGACTTAAAGTGAAACTTTTTTTATTAGTCTATAAAGAAAGTATTTGAGTTACCTATATTAATTATTTCTATATTAATAATTATAAAGTTTTTACGTAAGGGGGCAAAAAGTTTCACTTTATAGCATACATTAAAAACCATCAACAAACATCTTGAAAATAAAACTAGATCAATTCATACATACAAAGGAACATATTTATAAGAGTTATAACCCACAGTTCTTTTTAATTAGTGGCGGTTGCATCTCTTCTGCGCAAAGGTCGTTGTAACGATTCTCCAATTAAGACAGGCAAAAGTCTTATACCATACAGCCTTATCTGATGTATATTTTATTCACTAAATTGTTTACAATATGCTGATGCATCACATTAAAAAAAATTGGGAGGTTTTGACGAAAGCTTGATCTAGAGGACAGATGATAACGATAGTGTCTCAAGCCGCCCCAGCGGATAAAAACTTGAATTTTATATTACCATCAGAGCATTTATTTCATCGTTTCCACTGATAGTGCAAATGCGTAGACATTTAATAAACAAAATTGCGCACCATTTTATATCTAAATCTACTTCAAACTATTCTCTGAACATTAATACAGAAGCTACGACTAGGGTTCCTGAACTTTTTATATATTTTACATTTACTGTAGCAATGGCTACAAGTACTTCAGCCAAAAAAAAAAACATCAAATGCTATAATAACATATTTTACAGGATATGAACATGTTTACAAATTTCTTAACATTACGATGTTTTTGGGACATTTTGATGGCAGCTTAAGCCAGCAGACATTCGATGATGACGGTATCTTAAACTCTCAAGGCACCAAAGCGGACAAAAAAATAGCTTGAGGTTTTATACAACTTCGGAACCCTAGTTAGATCGTATCGATCGTATTCACATGCGCAGCACATTTAATATACAAAATCACATCACTTTTATGTATCAGTCCTATTTTAACCATTATTTAAATAAAAAGAAAGAAGCAACAATCCGCTATCGGTCAAGATCCCGCCAAAATCCCTTTAAGGAATAATATTAAGGGATTGTGATCAAATATTTAAGTTGAAAACAATTTCATATTTTGATAAATATAAATTATTGGAGTTTTAGCGAAGTAGTGCTGAGAAAACATACATTTTGGTAATCCTCTCTAAGAAATTGACCTTGTCTAGAGCGCAATCCTCAGGCCACAAGGACTAGAAGACCATGATTTCCGTGCGCGGCACGTTCGCCAGGTTGTCGTCGATGGTGAGGTACATGTTGAAGGAGAAGAACATGGCGGTGGCGGAGAGGAAGTGCCAGACGTCGTGCGAGTCGTACAGCTGCAGCAGCGAGCACTCGCGGTTGCTCTGCCGGGACTGCGCCGGCGTCAGCTGCGACCAACCAACTCTCATTGTACACATGTAAGGGCAACCACTTCTATGTATACTACAAGACGGCCACTACAAAACTAATACATTGCGCACTAGTTATTTTTTTAAATAGAATAAGGGTGACAAACGAGCACATCCTTTTTACTGGAAATGAGGCATTCCATCTTATTCCTCACTGGTGACAACGCATCTGCATTTTGATTTGTAATAGAGAATAGATGTAGATGTCTATGGGCCACAGCAACCACTCACCATCAAGTGGACTGTGTGCTCGTCTGTCACCCTTATCCTATAAAAAATGTACTTAATCTAGTGCTTTAATCTTAAACCACATTTACACAATCGCGCGAGTGACGAGGCGAGTGACGAGGCGAGGCACGAGCACGAATATATAAACAGTGGTTCGTCATTCACCTCGTGTTTCGCGTCGCCGCTCGTGATGCTCGCGTCGGGAGCGGTTTATTGGACACGACTCAAAGGGAAAAAAGCGACGAGACGAACTAGTGTTTACACATTAGCTTTCTAGTTCATTTCAAGCAACATAAAATGAAATGGACCAACAATAAATTTATGTATTTGGAGCTTTACCAAAGTCAGCAAATCATTTGGAATCCAAAGCTTGCTCATCAACACATAATAGGGATAAGCAGAAAGTATATAATACTTGGACTAGTACATAAGAAATAATGGAGGTGCCAATGAACGATTTAAAATTAGCTACTTTTTGTACACATCGACGCAGGCTGGCATCAATAACATTCGGTGCAGGAAAGGACGATATGGTTTAATAATTATATACTGACTTTGTAACAATGACAAAACAATGCAAATGCCGCATGAATAACGACGTCGTCCATTTCGTCAAGCTGAAGTTAGAGATGAATAGACGCGAATGCATAAACGATCACTCGTGTAACCTAAAGCCACACGAATATCTCGCCAAACAATTCGTCGAATGGCGAGGCGAATCACGAGCACGCATGTGTAAATACGGCATTACAAGCGTTTTCTGTGGATACTTCTGTTAGCTTTTAAGATATTTGTGAATAAAAAAATAAAATACCATAACACTCACCGCCCAGTTGGTGCTGAGGTCCAGGTAGAAGTAGCTGGAGCCGAACCACACCGAGTACGTCAGAGCTATGTACACCCAGCTGCAACACCAAACAACAAAAACACTTTTGTAAAAGTCATACATTTAGAAACTTCATATTGAATGAATTTAGTTTTCACGGATATTGTTGCGTTTATTAACTTCTTTCTATTCCCGACGTTTCAAGTACTTTACAGCACCCATGGTCACGGAGGAACTAAGGTGTTCCACGTCCCAATTTCATAGTTAACCTCGGCTACCTTCAGTTTAAAATCATTATTTTTTGGTCCCATCTACTCAGAAAGAACTTATATCATATTTAAATCTTGCAGTGGTATGCTTGGGTTGGAATTTAATTTTATTAATTATCTCAAGCAGATGGTAAAAACTGACCCTTATGAAGTTTCAGACACAACTTATTACCATCTAAAATCAATCTCAAGTTTAAACACAAACAAAGAAGCGTAAACTAGATGAACGTGGCATATATACCTGTACCAGCGGATAGACTCCCTGTGCAGTAGCTTCATGGCAATGTAGAATAGCGTGTAGAGGAACAGGTTGCTCATCAACACCAGCAGCAGGTGAGACGCAAAGTCACGACCGTGTTGCGCCACACTACGAGCATGGAAGTGAAGGTTATTGCTAGGTTGGACAAAATATTGTATTTTAGACACGATTTACTGGAAAAGAGGCATTCAATCTTAGTCCTCAAGACTGTCTACCTGACCCATAGATGGGCGGAGGCAGTAGAGTCCAAGGGGGAGACGATGGCCGTTAGTCTGGACATTGCGAAGGCCTTCGATCGGGTTTGGCACAAAGCGCTTCTTTCGAAGCTCCCTTCCTATGGGCTTCCCGAGAAATTGTGCAATTGGATCACCAGCTTCCTTGCAGATCGGAGCATCAAGGTCGTTGTAGACGGTGCATGCTCTGACTACAAGCCTATTAACGCTGGTGTTCCACAAGGCTGTGTGCTATCACCAACACTGTTTCTTCTGCATATCAATGATATGTTGCTAACTGGTAACATTCATTGCTATGCGGATGACAGCACTGGTGATGCTCTATACACCGGCCGTGCCAATATTTCTCGGGAAAACGTCGCTGAGTACCGGAACAAACTTGTGTCTGAAGTCGAGTCTTTGCTGAGCAAAGTCTCGGATTGGGGGCGACTAAATCTAGTCCAGTTTAATCCTCAGAAGACACAAGTTTGCGCGTTTACCGCTAAAAAGAACCCCTTTGTCGTATGTCCTCAGTTTCAAGGCACTCCCCTTCTTGCCTCAGCAAGTATCGGTATCCTCGGAGTCGACATATCGAGTGACGTGCAGTTTCGTGGTCACTTGGAAGGGAAGGCCAAATTGGCCTCTAAAATGCTTGGCGTGCTCAGCAGAGCGGGACAGTATTTCATGCCAGCACACCGCCTGCAACTTTACAAGGCGCAAGTTCGGCCTCACATGGAATACTGTTCCCATCTCTGGGCAGGGGCTCCCCAGTGCCAGCTCCTTCCACTTGACCGCATCCAACGCAGAGCTGCTCGAATCGTCGACGACCGAGCCCTTTCCGATCGGCTCGATTCATTGGCACTGCGTAAAACTCTCCTACATAAAAAAAATGTCAATGCAACTGCATTTTGATTCGTAGACGAAGATAGATGTAAATGTATATGAGCCTCAGCAACGACTTACCATCAGGTGGACTGTGTGCTCGTTGTCATCCTATTTCTATTAAAAAAAAACTATTTTGGCGCTCGGGAATTGATACTTTTTGTAATATTTTATGCTCGGAAAAAATATGCGCATACATTAAATACGCAAAAACATTTTATAAAAATAAAAAAAAAATATTGCCGGGAAAAACCTTAATGTTGAACGAAAGAGTTCTGGTTTTTTTAAGCAATAACCATATATTATCTGTACGCTTAGATATTTTAAACCACATGTGATTCATCAATAGGCCGGCGTCACGTCACGTCACGTCACGTCACGTCACGTGCGCAGTGCGAGGTGGGTACGCACCCTAGTGCGGCGACGGCCCAGTTGGCGAGGTTGGCCAGCAGCAGCAGCACGCCGCGCCCGCAGCGCGCCGGCGTCACGTCACGTCACGTCACGTCACGTCACGTGCGCAGTGCGAGGTGGGTACGCACCCTAGTGCGGCGACGGCCCAGTTGGCGAGGTTGGCCAGCAGCAGCAGCACGCCGCGCCCGCAGCGCGCCGGCGTCACGTCACGTCACGTCACGTCACGTCACGTGCGCAGTGCGAGGTGGGTACGCACCCTAGTGCGGCGACGGCCCAGTTGGCGAGGTTGGCCAGCAGCAGCAGCACGCCGCGCCGCAGCGCGCCGGCGTCACGTCACGTCACGTCACGTCACGTCACGTGCGCAGTGCGAGGTGGGTACGCACCCTAGTGCGGCGACGGCCCAGTTGGCGAGGTTGGCCAGCAGCAGCAGCACGCCGCGCCGCAGCACGCCGCGCCGCAGCGCGCCGGCGTCACGTCACGTCACGTCACGTGCGCAGTGCGAGGTGGGTACGCACCCTAGTGCGGCGACGGCCCAGTTGGCGAGGTTGGCCAGCAGCAGCAGCACGCCGCGCCCGCAGCGCGCCGGCGTCACGTCACGTCACGTCACGTCACGTGCGCAGTGCGAGGTGGGTACGCACCCTAGTGCGGCGACGGCCCAGTTGGCGAGGTTGGCCAGCAGCAGCAGCACGCCGCGCCCGCAGCGCGCCGGCGTCACGTCACGTCACGTCACGTCACGTGCGCAGTGCGAGGTGGGTACGCACCCTAGTGCGGCGACGGCCCAGTTGGCGAGGTTGGCCAGCAGCAGCAGCACGCCGCGCCGCAGCACGCCGCGCCGCAGCGCGCCGGCGTCACGTCACGTCACGTCACGTGCGCAGTGCGAGGTGGGTACGCACCCTAGTGCGGCGACGGCCCAGTTGGCGAGGTTGGCCAGCAGCAGCAGCACGCCGCGCCCGCAGCGCGCCGGCGTCACGTCACGTCACGTCACGTCACGTGCGCAGTGCGAGGTGGGTACGCACCCTAGTGCGGCGACGGCCCAGTTGGCGAGGTTGGCCAGCAGCAGCAGCACGCCGCGCCGCAGCACGCCGCGCCGCAGCGCGCCGGCGTCACGTCGCGTCACGTCACGTCACGTCACGTGCGCAGTGCGAGGTGGGTACGCACCCTAGTGCGGCGACGGCCCAGTTGGCGAGGTTGGCCAGCAGCAGCAGCACGCCGCGCCCGCAGCGCGCCGGCGTCACGTCACGTCACGTCACGTCACGTCACGTGCGCAGTGCGAGGTGGGTACGCACCCTAGTGCGGCGACGGCCCAGTTGGCGAGGTTGGCCAGCAGCAGCAGCACGCCGCGCCGCAGCACGCCGCGCCGCAGCGCGCCGGCGTCACGTCACGTCACGTCACGTGCGCAGTGCGAGGTGGGTACGCACCCTAGTGCGGCGACGGCCCAGTTGGCGAGGTTGGCCAGCAGCAGCAGCACGCCGCGCCGCAGCACGCCGCGCCGCAGCGCGCCGGCGTCACGTCACGTCACGTCACGTGCGCAGTGCGAGGTGGGTACGCACCCTAGTGCGGCGACGGCCCAGTTGGCGAGGTTGGCCAGCAGCAGCAGCACGCCGCGCCCGCAGCGCGCCGGCGTCACGTCACGTCACGTCACGTCACGTCACGTCACGTCACGTGCGCAGTGCGAGGTGGGTACGCACCCTAGTGCGGCGACGGCCCAGTTGGCGAGGTTGGCCAGCAGCAGCAGCACGCCGCGCCCGCAGCGCGCCGGCGTCACGTCACGTCACGTCACGTCACGTCACGTGCGCAGTGCGAGGTGGGTACGCACCCTAGTGCGGCGACGGCCCAGTTGGCGAGGTTGGCCAGCAGCAGCAGCACGCCGCGCCCGCAGCGCGCCGGCGTCACGTCACGTCACGTCACGTCACGTCACGTGCGCAGTGCGAGGTGGGTACGCACCCTAGTGCGGCGACGGCCCAGTTGGCGAGGTTGGCCAGCAGCAGCAGCACGCCGCGCCGCAGCACGCCGCGCCGCAGCGCGCCGGCGTCACGTCACGTCACGTCACGTGCGCAGTGCGAGGTGGGTACGCACCCTAGTGCGGCGACGGCCCAGTTGGCGAGGTTGGCCAGCAGCAGCAGCACGCCGCGCCCGCAGCGCGCCGGCGTCACGTCACGTCACGTCACGTCACGTGCGCAGTGCGAGGTGGGTACGCACCCTAGTGCGGCGACGGCCCAGTTGGCGAGGTTGGCCAGCAGCAGCAGCACGCCGCGCCGCAGCACGCCGCGCCGCAGCGCGCCGGCGTCACGTCACGTCACGTCACGTGCGCAGTGCGAGGTGGGTACGCACCCTAGTGCGGCGACGGCCCAGTTGGCGAGGTTGGCCAGCAGCAGCAGCACGCCGCGCCCGCAGCGCGCCGGCGTCACGTCACGTCACGTCACGTCACGTCACGTGCGCAGTGCGAGGTGGGTACGCACCCTAGTGCGGCGACGGCCCAGTTGGCGAGGTTGGCCAGCAGCAGCAGCACGCCGCGCCCGCAGCGCGCCGGCGTCACGTCACGTCACGTCACGTCACGTCACGTGCGCAGTGCGAGGTGGGTACGCACCCTAGTGCGGCGACGGCCCAGTTGGCGAGGTTGGCCAGCAGCAGCAGCACGCCGCGCCCGCAGCGCGCCGGCGTCACGTCACGTCACGTCACGTCACGTGCGCAGTGCGAGGTGGGTACGCACCCTAGTGCGGCGACGGCCCAGTTGGCGAGGTTGGCCAGCAGCAGCAGCACGCCGCGCCCGCAGCGCGCCGGCGTCACGTCACGTCACGTCACGTCACGTCACGTGCGCAGTGCGAGGTGGGTACGCACCCTAGTGCGGCGACGGCCCAGTTGGCGAGGTTCGCCAGCAGCAGCAGCACGCCGCGCCGCAGCGCGCCGGCGTCACGTCACGTCACGTCACGTCACGTCACGTCACGTGCGCAGTGCGAGGTGGGTACGCACCCTAGTGCGGCGACGGCCCAGTTGGCGAGGTTGGCCAGCAGCAGCAGCACGCCGCGCCCGCAGCGCGCCGGCGTCACGTCACGTCACGTCACGTCACGTCACGTCACGTCACGTGCGCAGTGCGAGGTGGGTACGCACCCTAGTGCGGCGACGGCCCAGTTGGCGAGGTTGGCCAGCAGCAGCAGCACGCCGCGCCCGCAGCGCGCCGGCGTCACGTCACGTCACGTCACGTCACGTCACGTCACGTCACGTGCGCAGTGCGAGGTGGGTACGCACCCTAGTGCGGCGACGGCCCAGTTGGCGAGGTTGGCCAGCAGCAGCAGCACGCCGCGCCCGCAGCGCGCCGGCGTCACGTCACGTCACGTCACGTCACGTCACGTCACGTCACGTGCGCAGTGCGAGGTGGGTACGCACCCTAGTGCGGCGACGGCCCAGTTGGCGAGGTTGGCCAGCAGCAGCAGCACGCCGCGCCCGCAGCGCGCCGGCGTCACGGCTGCACACGGCGCCGCCGCCAGCGCCCGGGCCGCTCGACACACCATGCCACCACCTGTCAATCAAAATAACATGTTTTTTTTAATAGAATAAGTGTGACCACACGAACACACATTCCACCTAATGGGAAGTGAATCCTCGATTAGGAGTTAAAATGCATTTTTAATACAGTTGCTCAAAAAGTTGCGTATTGCAGGGACGTATAGCGTTCGGGATGTGGGCTATTACTCGTGCTTTTTCTTTACCTTTTCCGAACTCGTGCGTTCTCTTTCCCAACTGTCAAAATAATGTCTATTAAAAAGAAAAAACCAACCACGAAGTTTTTACTAAAAAAAAAAATTTATAGAAGTTTTTATGATTCATGAAAATATTTCTAAAAAGAAGCTACTAATTTGTTTCAATATCAGATTTAATGATTTGAATCAATGAGTTAGGTTAGGTTTCATTTCATTTCATCTCATTAAATTTAATTTTCATTTCATATCAATAAAAAAATTCTACTGAAGACTTGGCTGTATGGGCATAGTTCCCTTTGCCTACCCAGAATGGGTGAAGAAAACAAAAAAAATCTCTGCTTATATTCTTTTACGGTTGGCGCCATTTTCCAAAAATGTTCTTTATTAAATTGCTTCATTTTTTCGCAACTGTATTAAAAATAGTTGTTCAGTACACGTGCGGAACGGTCATTGCAACTTGTTCCGACTGTCAACCCTCACCTTCGGCTGCGCCTTGTTTCGGGTAGACATTTGTCGGAACTCTTTGCAATGACAGGCTTTCCGCACTTGTAATGAAATATACTATTTCACCCCTGAGAACTAAGATGGAATACCCCTTTCCAGAAAAAGGTCTACGGTTCTCGCCATTCAAAACACAGCAGCACTAAGGTGCTATTTAACGTTGGTTTTCTGTGTGAACGCGGTCCCACCCCGGTAGAGGAGACCGGATGAATTTGTGCTACAACCATTTTATACCTGCAGCATGGCCCTACCACGTGTGAAACATCTATTTGCACGCCTTTATATTAAAACCGAGTCATATATCGTGACGGCAAACGGCATGACACTCTTATGTCATCATGCCCCCTCTACGCCACAACTCTTTATTCACATTTATAGTGCTTGAGAGAATTCACAGAATGCTATAGGTGTGTTTTGGGATTTATCCAAACCAAACCAAACTATAACCAAACCATTTCTAACAGTGGTAGAGCCACGCGGCAGCTTTTGCTGTCGCACGGATGGGCCGGCTCGAACCGGGGTGCTACCACGACCTCACAGAAAACCAGCGTGAAGTAGAGGTTTACCTCTGCGTTTCGCTTGGTGAGTGCAGGTGGCCGGAGGCCCTTTTTACTGGAAATGAGGCATTCCATCTTAGTCCTCACGGGTGACAACGCATCTACATTTTGATTTGTAACAGAGGATAGATGTAGATGTCTATGGGCCGCAGCAACCACTTACCATCAGGTGGACTGTGTGCTCGTTTGTCATCCTTATCCTATAAAAAAAGAACCATTGGTTTCCTCAAATTACTCAACACTACTTTATCAATTAGAATATTATGGCATTAATTAACGGGCTCTTCGTTTGTTGAAGTTTTACCTTAGTAATAGGATTCAGCAGGTCCAGAATAATGGTGTAAGTTCTGTAAAAATGGGTTTGCCACAGGGGTCTATTCTTGACCCGTTTTTGTTTCTTGACTACATTAATTATTTACCATTCTTAGTTCAAAAACCCACTAACGTACGTGCGTGCGTGTGTACGTGCGTGCGTGTGTGGAAACGGCATGACGATCTGTTATGTCGTCATGCCCCCTCTAGGCCACCGCTCTCGACTCCCCTGTATATGTACGTGGTAGAGCCATGCTGCAGCTATTTATGGTTGTAGTACGAATGGGTCGGCTCGACCGGGGAAGGACCACGCTCTCACAGAATACCAGCGTAAAATAGCAGCATTACGTTGCTGTGTTTCGTATGGTGAGTGTAGAGATCCGGAGACCCTTTTTACTAGAAACGAGGCATTCCATCTTAGTCCTCACGGGTGACAACGCATTTGCATTTTGATTCGTAATCGAAGATAGATGTAGATGTCTATGGGCCACAGAAACCACTTACCATCAGGTGGACTGTGTGCTCGTTTGTCACCCTTATCCTATAAAAAAAAAAAAACCTATAAAAAATATGTGTGCGCGAATACTGCACACTTCAAACGAAGCAATCGTTTTTATTTATTTTAGTCCATATTGCTTTATTGCTTTTCATTAATTATAAAACAACTGCTGCGCGTCTCGTGACGCCAATTTTTTTGTTTGATCATCATCGTCATCACAGGTCATCAAAAATCCACTACTGAACAAAGGCCTCGGCCAATTTGTTACAAAGAACTTTCCCGAGCCACAGAAAATATTGTGCTATATAATTTCAGTCTTCCGAAAACTTCGATAGCGTGATTTAAGCTTCGGTGTCTGTTCAGATCATTTTACTTGAGAGGAATATAACAGACAATGTACAGCCTCCGGCTGTTTTTAGATGACATTTTGTTGATAATTGCAGAAAATAGTTAAACAATTAAAAAGGTTGAGTTTTATTTTACTTTATTTAATAATAACTACAAAACTGCGTTCTTTTGTGTTTTTTTTTTCTATTTATTCAAACAACTTATCACAAGAACGAGTGATTTTACTACATAACCTACAAATAATAAAACGTAAAATAAAAACAAAACGCCAGGTCCTGCAAAAATATGATTTTCGGTATAAGTAGCAAACGTTTAAATCTTCAAACTTCAAATATTTTAAGTTTGTTCACGCCGGGCCCAAGCTTGTATGGAATCAAGTTCATCTCCTTTATTGCGCTTGATAGAATTCACAGAATGCGAAAAGTGTATTTTGTGATTAATCTTTTGATTGCGTAAATCACTCAACACTACTTTATAAATTAAAGTATTATGGCCGTAATAAGCAGGCTCTTCGTGTGTAGGATTCTTACCTTAACAATAAATTCAGAAAGTTTTAAACATGTACAATATTTCAAAGGAGTAGCATCGATGTCTTACCAAGTCGGAATCGGCCTAAATAGTAGATCTGGAATGTCATCACTAGGCACGTGACCAGGTGCAGCACGGTGAACGCCACCCAGAAGTAAAAGTTAGCGTTCAGAACACCTACCAAACCTGTAAATAAAATGTTTTCAAATATGGTTTAACTGTCTGTTGCTTATATCATTTATTAAAGCTAATACTCATTTGTCTATTATAATACATACAATGTTAATAAAATTTAATATTTAATTTAGTTGCTAATAGCAACTAGCGATCCGCCTCGATTTCGCACGGGTCATTTCTGGATCTCGACAACAGTGCCATCTACCGGGTCTAATTGTGAATCATCTAAATCATCCAGGCACCCACTCAAACAGACAAAAAAACTCATCAAAATCGGTCCAGCCATTTTCGAGTTTTTGTGTGACGAACTGACAGCAATTGATTTTTATATATGTATAAATATCAAATATATTTTCGCCGATATATATATATATATATATATATATATATATATATATATATATATATATATATATATATAGGTTTATATATATGTAGGTTTTTCTGCCGACTTCCAAAAAGGACTGTACTCAAATCGACTGTATGTTTTCATAACTTTTTTACTGGGTGAACCGATTTCGATGATTCTTTTATTTTATTTAAAAGCTGGTGCTTCACATGTGGTCCCATATACATTTGATCAAGGACTGACCAATAGTTTTTGAGTTATTATTAATAATTTATATTGAAGTCGGTTGTAGAATTTTTTTAATTTTAAATTATATTTTTAGTTGTAGCAGTATAAGAAAGACGCCGCTGTCCATCTGACTTATTTCGCTCTGTTGCCTCTTACGACACCCACGGTATGATATAGCGCAATGAATAATCTTACATCGCCACCACACGGTCTCTACAGACTAGTGGATGCTTTAATAAGATAGGGAACTAAATTAAAATTAAAAATCAATCAACACCCGAGACTGTTTAAACTACGAAATGAGAATAAGTAATGATTTCTTATACCAGGTGGCCCATAAGTCGTTAGAAATGTAAATTTCGAATAAAATACAAAAGGCGCGCATGAGTGGCGCGCGCGGTGCGGGGGGAGTACCGACGGTTTCTGGGAATTCAGTCGCCATGGAGCGTTTCACCGGTGCGGACCGTGCATTTTGTGTGCGCGAGTTTTATCGAAACAATGATTCGGCTACCATTGCGCGGCGTAAATTTCGAGAATATCAGAATTTACGCAACTTTAAAGACATTCCAAGTGTTCAAACGATTAAGAACTGGGTTATTAAGTTCGAAGAGAGTGGTTCGACGTTGGATAAACAACGGTCAGGTCGACCAAGGACATCACGGACGGAAGAAAACATCGATGTAGTGAAACACTCAATTCGTGAAAATCCTACCCAGTCTACTCGTAAGCGTTCCAGTGCATTAAACTTACCCAGAACATCGTTACAGCGAATTTTAAAGAAAGATTTACATCTTCACCCGTACAAGATTCAGTTAGTACAGGAATTAAAAGATACTGACACCATCCACAGACTAAATTTCGCAAATGAAATGTTGAACCGCTTTACTTCGTTTAATAACGTGTTATTCTCTGATGAGGCTCACTTTCACATCAACGGCCATGTCAATAAGCAAAATTGTCGCTACTGGAGTTGCGAAAATCCAAATCGCAAACATCAAAAGCCCTTACATAGCCCTAAAGTGACAGTTTGGGCGGCTATGTCAGCGCATGGCATTATAGGCCCTTACTTTTTTGAGGACGGCAGAGGCCGCGCGCTTACTGTTACTTCACAACGGTATGTAGCTATGATCCAGGACTTTTTTACACCAGAGTTGCAGAATTTTCCAGGCTTCAATACGCGGACCTGGTTTCAACAAGATGGAGCAACTGCCCATACCTCTAACGTCGCTATGCCGGTCGTCCGTCAACTTTTCCCTAATAAAGTGATCTCTCGAAGAGGAGATATTCCTTGGCCACCACGTAGTCCAGATCTGACCCCAATGGACTTTTTCTTATGGGGTTATCTTAAGACTAAAGTGTACGAAACCAACCCGCGGACAATTGACGTCCTGAAAGAAAATATCCAAAGAGAAATGGCAAACATTACAGAGCTTACTTGCCACGCAGTGATGGATTATTTTAAACGTCGCTTACAGGAGTGCCGCGATCGTAACGGATTACATTTAGATGATGTAATTTTCAAAAAATAATTCCCATTTTATAAGGATTATGACAAAATAAAAACCTTTTTCATTATGTCATTAGTTTTTTTTTAATTATTTTTTTACATTTCAAGGGACTTATGGGCCATCCTGTATTTACGAGAAGACTACGCATTAAATGAAACTCATTTTTAAGGATTTTATCGCCTTTAATTTAACTTTTTAATTTCCGACGTTTCGGGTGCTTTACAGCACTCATAGTCACGGGAGGGGGGGGGGGGGCTAAGGCGTTTGACGTCCCGATGTCATAGTTAGCCCGACTACCTTCAATTTTTAAATATTATTCTTTTTTTAATAGTTTTTTTTTTTAATTTTTGGTTCTGCGTTGATCGGACCAAAAATTAATACTCAAAAACTGCTGCAATATTCAAAAAGTGCTGTAAAGCACACGAAACGTCAAGAATTAAAAATCCGTAAAAAGTAGTTTCATTTAATCAGAATAAGTAGTTAAGAAAGGCCAAAACCAAATCTTCCCCATCAGACTATCATAATCATCATCATCATTACAGCCCTTCACTAGTCCACTGCTGAACATGGGCCTCCCTCAAGGCATGACACAAAGCACGGTCCTGAGCCACCTGCATCCATTCCTTCCTTGCATGTCTTACCAGGTCGTACTATATACCATCAGACTATACTATATACTAAAATAAAATGGTATAGTTTTCAGAAGGTGTGCGAACAAAAGAAAGCATACCTAAGAAGATGATCAGCGCCAGCACGCCAAACGTGGCATGTGCCCTAGCGTTGATATCCGGATGTCTCGACTGGTAGATTTTCACCATACATAGCACGGCCGTTACGTACATGAACGATGTATCTGGTTGAAAACAATCAAAGATACTTAATGAAATGTATAAAAAAATATTAATATCTATTAATGTGACATCATCATTGAGGTTTAAGATATCATCGAAGACCATTTGTTATATGTTTTTTTCGATTTTACAAAAATAATCTTCAAGTTCTTTTTTACATTAAAAATATACCCTGGATCACTCCTGACATTGCTTTCTATCTTGTCGTGAAGTCTCACTACAGTTCGTACGGATTAACAATGGGTTCAAAAATGGCGGCTCATCGAGCCCGTACCGTCAACATGCACAGTACCGCAGAAATAGCAAAACCCGCAAATAACGGTATACTATTATAACGTTATATTATTAGGCTTAATTGAAATTTTCCATTAACGGAAAAATGTTTGAAAATAATTGTATACTCAAGTAGGTACAAAACATATATAAATAGCGACCCACTCTGGCTTTTCCTGCCGGGCTAGCATGGGCAGGAGACAATTTTATCCCCGGGGAAAGGAGAAAATGTTTATCCCCTCGCTTAGTTTTATCCACCCTTGGAGCATGGGCATACCGGTGGATATAATATCCACAGTAGATAAAATGGGAGATAGACTTAAACAAATTTTTGTATGAATATAAACTTAAACCCACGTCCAATGAACTAGGCTAAAATTGTCCCTTTCCAATGTCAAAAAAGTATAATTTTTAGGGTTCCGTACTTCAAAAGGAAAAAACGGAACCCTTATAGGATCACTTTGTTGTCCGTCTGTCTGTCTGTCTGTCTGTCAAGACCCTTTTACTCAGGAACGCGTGGAGGCATCAAGCTGAAATTCATATCAAATATATATCTACTGTCCCTTAGAGCTATGAAAAAATCAAACTTCTAAGCCAACGCAATCACAGGATACAGCCGTTTATGCCGTAAATTTTCGACATTCGCAAGGTAATCACACACAATCACAGGGTACTTCCCGTGAACTCAGAATCTTGAAATTTGGTACGAAGCAACGTTTTATAGCACAGATAAAGGAAAAATTGTGAAATGCATAAATTTTTAGTTACATCATATAATAAAAATATTTTTAATAATTTTAAAGTTATATACCTACGGATTTGTTCGGAACCCTCGGTGCGCGAGTCCGACTCGCACTTTGCCGGTTTTTTATCTTTCATTTGGCTCCATGCTACGGACGGGAGATATATGTACTCGTTATGTCAAACGGGGATATACTTCTCCCCGTTGCCGTGCTTTGGCATAAGGACAAGATAATTTTATCTCTAGTCAGTGGATATAATCGGGGGATAATTTTTTTGTCCCCAGCTCGTGCTAGCCGTATTGGGTGGAATCTATTAATGTGACGTTATATAGACTTAAGATAATCATTAAATACCATTTATTTTATCTTATCGATATTTCTATTTCAATAAAATCTCTAAATTTTTCAGATAAAATTTATACTAGGCCATTTCTGGTACTACTCTCTGTTTGTTCGTGAAGTTTTATTACAATCGGTTCAGCCATTCCGAAGATTACCTCGGACTGATTTTAAACATGGTTACTTATATCTAAATGGCACGTAAATAAATAATAAAATACAAAAATATTTTCAAACAAAATGATCACAAATTAACTGAATAGACTGAATTTATGTTGCAATTAATTACATTTTGTTATTATTGATTCCAATAACAAGTTGGACTGAAGTTACAGAACGTACGAAAAACGTATATCGCAAGGTATTTTTTTGCAGTCTTTACCGACGGGTGTGAGTATAGATTGCGACAGTGTGCGAGCGAAAGGTCCATAGAGGCGACGCCAGCCATTTTCAGTCCCATTCTTTAACCTCATGGGTGGTACACTTGGTTAAGCCATCCCGAAGATTAGCCCTGACAGACAGACAGACACGAAAATTAGTCTCATGTCTTAATGGCATGCAAACCTTCCCCTGATATTACAGACGGATATTTCAATTTTATTTATATGTAGGGACGATTTACCATAATCGCACGTTGAGCATGCGGATTGGTGTGTAAATAATAATAAAATAAATTATTGCATATTATGTAAGTACAGATGACAAAAAAAAATAACCTTCTGTTTCATAAACTTCTTCCTATCATCAATTTCAGAGGTTTAGAAGCAGTGGTCAAAGTAAAAAAAAATATTCTATATATTTTGTACACGTACCAAACTGGAAGTTCATACTGTTGGGACAAACGTGGTAGGCTGCGGAGAGCAGACCCTCGCTGACCAGCGCCACTCCCATTGCGTACAGAAGACCGAAATGCTGTGGGATTCCCATTTCCTTCTAGAAAAACAAAGCACTTATGATGATGTGTGTTCTGATGCTTGTGGAGCTTCATTTATACATATTTTTATTGCACCTTTGCTACTTATGTTCTGCTATATTCGTCAATTCAAATTAATGCAACATTAAAAAAATAAAACTTGTAAGTTATTTTATTGCACATTTTTACTACTGAGAATTTGTTGACAGAAAACCCAGTAACTAATTTTGGTCCGACCTGGGATTCTAACCCATTAACACATGATCAGCGGTTGTACTTACGACCAATACACCAATAGACCAATAAGACAGCGAGGTAATAGTTTGCCATAGTGCCACTTACAACATCCAGGGTATGAAATGCCGTGACAGACCGTGACGTCGTATAAACTTCTCCCTGCTCCATAAACTGTATCCAGCAGTGAGGCCTTCAAGAAAAGAGCCTGCTTTTTTTTAAAAGGCCGGCAACGTATCTGCATTTCTCCTGGAGTTCCAGTTGTTCATGGACGACGATCAACATTTACCATCAGATGAGCCGCATGTTCGTTAGTCCACTCTTATATAAGATATAGTGTTACTACAGTACCTCAATGGCAGTCTTGCTGCGGTGCCACTGGTGCCTCCGCCACACTTGCAGCAGAAACAACGTGCCCAACAACACATAGCCCAGGTTCGAGTACACGTGGTTGAAGTCCGACAGCATCATCAACGGGTGCGCGCACAAGAAGTTGAAGTAGCACAGGTCCTGGTTGCCGGACTGGTTCAAAAGCTGAATAAACAACAAAACACTGGATAAAAAACAAAACGGTAGCACCAAAAGTCACAATTTTCATTGTCTATAAAAGCATAATCAAAATTTAGTAACAAATATCCCTTAATCAAGAAAAACTAAGTTATAATTGAAAAAACCGTGTAGTGTCGATGAAAAAATGTCTACAGCCCCACATCGTCCAGTGACTGGTTGATAAATCAGCCGTAAGTTGTGGTAATGGTGGTAGTGGTAGTGGTCGTATCGTACCCGTGGGTGCCGTAAGGGACGACAAAAGGAAACAGAAATGGCAAATAGGCAGCTGCATCTTCTTGATAAGAACTCCAAAACAATAAAAAACTGCTGTTGCAAACTCATTGGCAAAATTTTCCCTATCTATGGAGGAGACCAATGTTCAGCAGTGGACTTTTACAGACTGTAATGGTTAGAATAGATGGATGAAGTCTTAGTATTACAAATCTAAAATGTTAACAATATGAGAATTAATAAAAGATGTTTTAAGATCACGATGAGAACTTTAGTTTGTCTATATTTTTATTGTTGTATTTTGTAATAAAATACAATACATGTTTAGTTAATAAATCACCTTTTTTAAATAACAATGTAAATCCATGTTAAAGCGGCAGTGACGATGATAATGATAATGATGATGGCTACTCTCACAATGAAGCAGAAGAGCTAGATTCAAATGACAACTTTCTCGTTCGAGATAACTAACTCATGGTTGTTTAGTAAATATTTGTCAACAAACGGTAAAATTAAAAATTGTGTACAACCAACTTCAATATAAATAAAATGATAACACTACCCATGTAGTCGAAGTCAATTAAATAAGCATTATTAAAGATGACTCAAAAATTACTAGTCAGATCTTGATCGAATTTATATGTGACCACATGAGAAGCTTTCAAATAATAAAATAATTATCAAAGTCATTTCACCTAGAAAAAAGTTTTAAGGTAACACAAATTAAAAAAAAGAAAATACAGTCGAATTGAGTTCCTCCTCCTTTTTTGAAGTCGGTTAAAATATCTGTTTTGCTCACCCTATCTAACCAACTAAGGGCGGATTCGACCAAACTTAGTATAAGTCTTATCCTGAGAATAAAATCACTAATTACTCTCGAGTTAGAGAACTTTCTTTTTACCAAATCTTAACCCAGGTATAAGCGTCTATCCGAGAGTAAATTGTTATACCGCTAAAATTTATGGAGTAAACAAGTTATCCCAGAGTATTTTAATGGCGGCCGCTACATTTTAATAGCTGTTTTCGTATGCTTTGTTGAAAAAGTAGGATATTTTATCGTTGTGTATTTATAATTTCTGGTATTTTTGTAATAATTGTAGGGATTATTTTTTTAACATTTACGAAATATACAAGATAAGAATAAGATTTGAAGAATATCAACTAACAACTCGACTCGTGTTAATATTCTAGTGTTCAGTGACAGTTGACACTAATATAATCCGGCAAAACTAAGTGGACCGAAAATCTTGCATTGCGTTATATAAACAATTGTATTTCGATTTTAGTTGGCTTACATGTTCATTCATTTTTCATTCACCAACTCTAGAGTAACAATCATGAAGCAAATACAAAGAGGAGACGTTGTAATTAAATTTCACTATGTAACAACGCGTGACAATTTGCGGGGTGAGGAGATGCAAAGCCCCGCCCACTACACTATCTACATCTACCGATAAATAGTAAAACTAATCGAATCTTCCCATATCGATGTTGCAATGTAGCTTAGCTACCTTGACGGTAGATGGCGGCATGTCCAAAAAATGTTATAAACTATAAAAATAATATATTGGCGATTAAAATTTCTTTATGTCTGAATGCAAAACAAATTTCAGCACCTTCGTATGATTATTTTATCATTACTGAGCTCTACGTTATTTATACTTTTAGTTCACAGGACACAAAGTGTCGCCATCTAGTGTGGAATATATTTAATTATATTTGAAAGCCGACGCAAAGAGATTATTCTAGAACTATTTTAATAAATTAGGTGTAAAATTACTTACAAATGAAATGTAATGCCATCCATAGCATCGGAGCATCTATCTCTTGAAGCAAATACATTCAGACAAAGAAATTTTAATCGCCAATATATTTTTATAGTTTTCATAATAATTTTAGGAACAGGCCACCATCTATCGTCAAGTAAACCTCATAAAAAATAACAAAAAGACAGGGCTGCAATTAGAATTTAATTATTTTACCCAGTAACCCAACATTCAATATTAAAATGAAGGAAATTGTACTTGGATGATTTTTACGAAATATTTAAGTTTTATTTAAGTGACATTCTGTATGCAAAGAATCACTTAAATACAATTTAAATATGTTTATCATTTCGTGAAAGTCAACCTTCAAGAAATATTTATTTTATCCATAAAATAAAGTCTCTTTGAAACTAAATATTGTATCTTCAATATTAAGTAGGATATTTAATTTAGAACTAAATATCCTACTTATCTCACTAATATTATAAAGGCGAAATTTTGTGTGTTCTTTCTGTCTCCTTGAGCTTATTCCACACTAAGTATGTGTAATTTTTTCACGCAGAAACGGCTGGACTATTATTTATGTGTGGGTTATACTACTTAATATCTCTGAGGGAAAACAAATAATAGAGAAATTATTATAATTAATATAATTTTATTTACAAATCAATTAAAATATAAATATTTTATTCCAAATTAGGCATCCGAATGCACTTTTTGAATGCCAATATAAGTATATTAAATTGTATTTAAGTGATTCTTTGCATATAGAATGTCACTTAAATATAACTTAAACATTTCGTAAAAATCAGCATAAGTACAATTTCCTGCATTTAATATTAAAAGTTGAATTACTGGGAAAAATAATTGAATTCTAATTAGGGCCCTGTCTTTTTGTCATTTTTATGAGGTTTACTTGACGAGAATACGGCCTGTTCTCAAAATGATTATAAACTATAAAAATAATATTTTGCGATTAAAATATCTTTATGTCTGAATGCAAAACAAATTTCAGCACCTTCGTATGATTATTTTACCAATACTGAGCTCTACGGACCTTTATATTTTTAGTTCACATGACACAAAATGTCGCCATCTAGTGTCGAATATATTTAATTATATTTGAAAGCCGACGCAAAGAGATTTTTCTAGAACTATTTTAATAAATTAGGTGTAAAATGATTTACAAATGAAATGTGATGCCATCCATAACATCAGAGCGTCTATCTGAGTAGTTTTTACACAATAAAACACAACACTTCATCCTTTTCTTCTTAAGACTACACCGATTTGCGATTTTTTCAACACATAAGCGCACAGGATGAATGCTAACAGTATACTAATTAAAGCCACGCCTACTATGATGACGTCAGGACCTACTTAGAATCACAGTGCACAGTTGCTTATGCCGTCTCCCCTTTGTATTAGCTTCATGGTAACAATACCCAGTATTAGCTACTCTACGTTTGTGTTGTAAAAACGCAAACGAAGTTATCTGAGAGTAAGACCAAAGAATAAAGTTATTTGAGGGTTAGTTACTCTAGAATAACACGGTATTTGGTCGAATCCGCCCTAAGAAGTCGAAATATGGCGCTTACTATGATCGCATTGGCGTGAATTCTACAATAACAAGGGGTTTTTTGATATTAACCACACTTGGAAAACCGGTATTTTTCATAATTCAGATTAGATATTGGAGGAATATGTACTCCTTGCAATTGCCAAAGAGGAGAAGTTAACAAAATAGTATAAATCATAATGATTACTTACTCGCTGGTAGGTGACTACAAGTTGTATAACTGGCAGCGTGTAGAACACGGCTACAGTCAACACATTCCACAGATACATCTTGGAGCGCGCTGACAGCACTCGTGGGCGACATCTAATGATGAAAAATAAACAAAGTAATGGAGTTGTAAGAATGTACACCACCCCAATGCGTCCTTTGTGTGTCGTAAGAGGCAAGGGGAAAATCAGGAGGTCGGGTGTCTTCCTAATTACAACTTAACAATATTTATAAACTGCAGTTGGCAATACGCCCACCCAACGTGGCAACTGTTGCAACTATGGCAAATATTCCCTGTATGAGGCCAGTCTATGACGGAGGCCTATGTTCAACAGTGAACCTTCAATAGACTGTAATGATAATGATGATATTACATGATCACCGCTTGGTAAATATGGTCATGAAAACAGCCCCGGCAAAACATATAAAAATACTGTTTAGTTTCATTTACAAAGTATTCTTTGCAATCGTATAATTGTAGTAGTATTTCGGAACTTTATTAGGTTAAAATGTTTATATAATTACCAGCAACTTTGACACCATTATTGATTTTATATATAATATATAGTACCAGAGTAACCGATATGACCAACGGATTAGTAAGCTGAAGTGGCAATGGGCCGGCCGTATAGCTCGAAGAACCGACAACCGATGGGGAAAAAAGGTTCTCGAGTGGTAGCCTCGTACCGGCGGACGAAGTGTAGGGCGTCACCCACTAGATGGAGTGACGACCTGGTAAGACATGCAGGTAGTCGATGGATGTAGGTGGCCAGGTGGCTCAGGACTGTGCTTTGTGGCATTTCTTGGGGGAGGCCTATGTTCAGCAGTGGACTTATGAAAGGCTGTAATGATGAATGATGATGATGAATGATGATGATGAATGATAATGATGATCAACTCAACGTCTGGCAAAGATTGTCATGAAAACAGCCCCGGCAAAGTGTATAAAAAATACTGTTCAATTTCATTTACAAAGTATTCTTTGCAATAGTATAATTGTAGTAGTATTTCGAAACTTATATTAGGTTAAAAACATACAATTAAAATGTTTATATAATTACCAGCAACTTTGACACCATTATTGTTTTTATATATAATATATAGAACCAGAGTGACCGACATAGACCAACGGATTAGTAAACTGAAGTGGCAATGGGCCGGCCGTATAGCTCGAAGAACCGACAACCGATGGGAAAAAAGGATCTCGAGTGGCGGTCTCGTACCGGCGGATGAAGTGTAAAGCGTCACCCACTAGATGGAGTGACGACCTGGTAAGACATCCAGGAAGTTGATGGATGCAGGTGGCTCAGGACTGTGCTTTGTGGCATTCCTTGGGGGAGGCCTATGTTCAGTAATGCACTTGTGAAGCTTGTGCTAATAAAACATTAGCATTACGGAAGTTCATAAGTTGTGATTTACTACTAATCTACTAAGCAAACTTACCTCGACAAGTTAGCCACGCAAAGTTTACCACCTTGCATATAGTCGTCTTTTTCCACTGTAGCATCGTCCTCAAAGTCGTCGGATTCCGTGTCCGACATTGAACTTCGATCTGTGATAATATTTTTTTAGAGATTATTTCATTTCTAAATATATTTCTGTAAATATTTGTATAGTTTAGGCAATTTATTAAATATTGATATTTGATAATTATTTATTAGTATATGAACAAAGTCTGAATTTTGTCCTCCAAACTGTATTTCAGACTGTGAGGTTAAGGAAATGGAGAGTGCTTTTGATCCTGTCCTACACTAATCTAATCTCCGTTGAGACTGGTCGTCGTGACCGAAATTCAGTCTAGAGGACATTATTATTTCTATAATTATTATTTAATAGACAAAACGTCTAAAGAGTTATTCTTACCTGATTGAATAAGTTGTTCTTCACCCGCTAAGCACTGTCTAGAACTTCCACTGGCATCTAACGTGTTTATGGTACGGCGTCGCCGTGGCAAAGTATCGGTTTTACCACGTGTATCAACAGCCACTGTCACTCGACCTTCTGAGATCATACTCAAAAAGTTGCTCAATCGAGACAATCAAAACTGTTTTTTTTTTTTAATTAGAATTACATAGAAAATTTGTATATAGTTTTAGGCGGCATTGACCGGCGTGAAACACCAGAATAATGCTACTGTGTTTCGTATATGTAATACTGTCCTTACAATATGCTTTACTTTTTTTCTTTTTTTTTTAAACGTAACCTCCACGCTAGGATTTTCTCCTGTATCGTGGGGCAGTTTACAAACATAAATTGCACAAGGACAAACATCCAGACCCGGAACAATTATTTGTAGGTCATACAAATACCTGTTCCGTGCGGGATTCGAACCCGCGGCCCTTAGCGCTGCAACTCAATTGCTAAGCCACTGCGCCACGGAGCCGTATATATGTTATTACATACAATATAGTTTCACATAGATAATAGAAATATTATTATGTACTAAGTATGCTTCATATAGAAATACTAGTATTTCACCGTTGGTAAGTACGTGGTAGAGTATGCTACAGCTATCCTAGTTATATATAGCTACAGCATGAAAAACGCCCGGGGTAGGACCACGCTCTCACAGAATGCCAGCGTAAAACAGCGGAATAATGCTGTTGTGTTTCGTATGGTGAATGTAGCGAAACAGAGACCCTTTTCATTTGTGACAGGGCAATTCCATCTTAGTCCTCAGGGGTGACAACGCACTTAAACTTTTAATTCGCAAACGAAGATAGATGTAGATGTCGATGGGCCACAGCATTCACTTACCATCAGGTGGACTGTATGCTCGTTTGTTGCTCTTATTCTATATTTAAAAAAAGAAGCCAAAACTCAAAACTTTGTAAAATCGTTCATATCTATACGATACAAACTATTTACCATGTTATCACTAAGAGAAAAGGAAAGCATTACGTAAAAAATATGAGAAAATTATTGAGCCACGTACGGTATTGTCTTTTTAATTTAGCCTAAAAATACATTTCTAATCTTACCTTCAGTTTGACTGCTTTCCATAGAGGAGTCGCTTCGCTTCTTCCTTTGGCACAGAACAGCGATTATGAAGGCTACGTAGAATGAGAGAAAAAAAGCCAATGCAGCGCCAGCCGCAATCATGTACTCCTGGTAGGATATCGTTTGGATAATCTTGAATCTGCAATAAAGCAGTGAAAGGTTAGGTTGACTCATCAGATTTGTTATATTACCTTGGGTTTTTTTATGAATAAAAAGCAAACGGTTCATCTTATAGTAAAGGACCATCGTCGCCTATGAACATCCGCAACACCAGAGGAATTGCAGATACGTTGCTGGACTTTAAGAACGGAGTAGGCTTTTTTCTTGAAGGTCCCTAACACGTATCAGTCCGAAAAAACCACTGGCAACAGTAAACTCCACAGATTCGTAGTGGATAAGAAAAGATAGTCGAAAATACCTGACATAATAATTAAATCATTTAATATCTAAATACGAGAATCTTTCTTTCCCATTGGTTGTCGGTTCTTCGAGCTAAGAAAGGTTCTCGAGTGGCAACCTCGTACCGGTAAGCGAAGCGTATAGCGGCTCCCCACTAAATGGAGTGATGACCTAATATTTTCAAAAAAAGTTTCATTACATCCAATACAAGTCCACTGCTGAAAATAGGCCGCCGTCACTGATTACCTCATGGCAAAATTTTGCCATAAACGCCACGCTTGACAGGCGGATTGGCAACCGCATTTTTAAGCACTTTGATTTGCTATCAGGAAGATGCTGCCCAAATCCTATTTCAGTTACCCTCTGACGCCTCTTACGACACCCACGGAACGATATGGAGTAGTGGATATTCTTACGTCGGCACTACACAGTTATAAAAAAGTTTATTTTTATATTTTTTATATTAGATATCTGTGTTACGAAGGGAGGTCAAAAAGTTCGCGGAATGGCGGGGTTGGTGAGGGTGAGTTTACTCATCCAGGTAGGCGCTAGTTGGGTGACTTATTGTTAGTATATGTACCAAATTTCAGCCTAATCGGGTCATTAGCTATTGAGTTATCAATGAGTAAATATGTGAATCGGGAAGAAACTAGCCACTATGGAGAAAACAGAATATCGCGCCGTCATTAAGTTTATCTCCAAACAAATAAAGACATTTTCAAGAGATTTCAGCTGTTTATGGGGACTCCGCTCCTGGGAAAACCATGATTATAAATGGCACGCCTTTTTCAAACAAGGGAGAGACTCTATTGAAGAGGACCCCCGACCTGGACGGCCGATTGAGGATACCACGCCAGAAATAATCGAAAAAGTTAAAAAACTTGTATTGGAAGATGCCCGGCTAAAGAAAAATTAGCTTGCAACATTAGTTGGAGTATCAGAAACAACCATTTTAAACATCCTACATCAACTCCTTGGCATGACTAGTCTGTGCAAGATGGGTTCCGAGAATTCTGCGCATCAAAAACACGAGCGCGTCGAAAGTTGTCGTGAGTTTTTCGACCGCTGTGGAGACCAAAGGGAGGAAGTTATGGCCCGAATTGTAACTGGGAATAAAACTTGGGTTCACCATTATGAACCTGAGTCAAAGCAAGAGTCGATGCAGTGGCATAAAAAAGGCACACCCCCTCCTAAGAAGTATAAGGTGTCTCAATCGGCTGGAAGGATCATGGCGACGATCTTTTGGGATACATAAGGTATCCTTGTTCCGACGGCTGCCATTCACCGGTGCGGTTTTGAACAACTGCGCCACCCACCCTACAGCCTAGACCTGGCCCTAAGCGAGTATTATTTGTTGCCCAAGACAATTTTTTTAGAGAATACATTGAAAAGGAAAAATAGTTTAGTGTTTCATTTCATTATCCTTCCCTGTCATTTCGCGAACTTTTAGACCTCCTCTCGTACATCAGTTGAAGGAGTTTTGGCGGGAACTTGAATGGCAGCGGATTGCTGTTCTTGTATTGTTTTAAATGGATTTTGATGTGTAAAGGTAGTGGGATTTTATGAATTAAATGTCTGCGCATGTGAACTATTAGGGTAAACGGTAAAATAAGTGCTCCGATGGTGATGTGAATCTCAAGATAAGGTGTTTAATTACTTAGGCGCCTTGAGATACAATCGATTACTGTCTGCTGGCTCAAGTTGTCAAAATCTCCTCAAGGGCCAGGACAATATGACGCATCAACATATTGTGAAGCAATGCACTATTAAGGATTATTATCACTTGATCTGTGCTAAGTGAAGTCATGGCTTAAAGGACAAGCATCTAATCCAAAAATACAAATTTAAAAAAATGTACAGTTGAAATTGAAATGCAGCTTGCTTGCTAACTAGTATATATACCTAGACAGTCCATCTTCAGAAAGGCTAAGCTACGCTTTACTCACCTGAATTGTTTAAGCCTCCCATCAGGCGCCGCCACATCTACACGGGTTTCGTCCCAGCCCAATATCCGCGCCATGCGGGGCAACGTGGAGTTCCCACTCGCAGCCGTACAGTCTTCATCCGAAGTTTTCACAATGAAGACAATGTAGAAGCCCAGGGGGAATGTGTCTTGCTGAACCAAACCAAAGAAATTAACTGTTATATGTCGATGATGTAAATCATCAGATAATCTATAGAAATAGAAACTTTTTTATCCAATATGGATTATAAATAATACTTATTGAAAGTCACTCTTATGTTCCCTTTTTAAGGTAGCGGCAACTATGTTGCCACCATGTATTTAATCAGTTTTCTGACAACATTTTAAATTTTAGTCGATTTTTTTTATCTGTATAGAACACTGTTAAATATATTTCAATGTCAAACTTGTTTTTACATTGTCAAACGTCATAACTGTCATTTGAAGTTGACGCGAGTTTGAAAGTTGCCGATTTCTCAGTTTTTTTCAAATCTAGTTCAATCTTGAAATTGTGTCGCTGTTTCGGTAAGTTTTATTTATTTTTGCAACGCATTGGGGTAATAACGATAACATAAAGCTATATTTTTCAAGTTTGGGTTGACTGCTTGTAGAAAAATGGAATTTGTTTAGGTGGCAATATAATTGCCTCTGCCTTATGGTGTGTGGTGCATGGCTTGGTGTTCAAGTTGTTGTTTTTATCGTTTGTAGGTAAAAATGCCGTGACTTCTGAACGATGACGCTATCGAGGACGAATTGCAGAGTTTATTTGGTCTTCCTGACGATCCAGAGGTTTCCAAAGACGAATGTGAACCTGAGCCAGAATCTTTTACTGACTTAGATGTCAGTAATATACTGAGTGGTTCTGATATGGATACTGTCCTTTCTTGTACCGGAATTGAGGAGGTGCCGCATCAGGACCTTGTAGAGTAAGCTTCATCAAATAGCTTACATACTGAAGAGCCTTCAACAAGCTCTGCTGAAGTTCAACCATCAACATCCGATCTTCATTTGGATAGGCGCCGTTTTCGTATCAGCGAATCTTCTTCTCCAGAAGTTCCTCCCCTTTGTCGTCCCAGTGTCGTAGCTTCATCACCAATACCTTCAGTACCAAGTACAGCCATAATGTCTGATACAGATGAGTCAGATACTGAAGAAGATGAATGGAAAAAGGTTATTTACTCACAGCATCCCGATATAGAATACTTTGATAGCATACACTTAGAAAGCAAACAATTTATGCCAAGTACCAGATCTGCAGTTTATTTTCGCATTTTTTTTACCACAAACTTATAGATAATATAGCATTTGTAATGTGGCAAAAATAATGTAGTATTTGTAATGTGGCGAGACACAAAACTTGTTACACTTCTGACCACTGCCTTTCATCCAAAAATAAATAAAACATTCTGTGATCGAACTCAGAAAGATGGTTCTAAAAAGGCTATTCAATGTCCACTAACCATACTACATTATACAGAGCGCATGGATGGAGTAGACCGATTTGATCAGAAGCGGAGCACTTACGAAGTTGGCAGGAGGAGCAAGAGGTGGTGACTACAAATTTTCTATTTTTGTGTAGACTTGGCCATCACAAATTCATTTTTGCTCTACTCTACAAACAAGAGGGTTCACAATCCACTTTCACAACTGCATTTTAGGTTGTGTCTGGCCCGTGGTTTCATCAACAATTATTCGTCTAGGAAGAGAAGCCTGGAGAGCCAGCCCCAATACTCCATGAAACGGCCAAAAATCTCCACCAATCGACAAAAACTGTGGACATGGTGGATGAGATACGCTTGACAAACGTGGGTAGTCATCGCCATGAGCAATTGAGCTCATGGCGCCGTTGTCGTGTGTGTAGCACAAAAACACGGAATAAGAGATCGAAAATACAATGCTCTACATGTAAAGTGCCACTTTGTGTGGTTCTTTGTTTTGATATATTTCATAGTCAGCAGAACTGAAAATATACCAAAACGGCGAACTACCAGATGGTTCTGCATTTACTTTGCTATCTTTTTTGCGTAATAAAGAGTATACTTAATTGAAAAATACGTTTTATTGGCAGGCTGTGGCAACTATATTGCCACCACATTTTCCAAAAATTTCCCTAAGATTTTCCAAAAAAATCAAAACATTATTTTCGTCATAAAAGTATTATTTTTCACTTTTTGTTTGTTATACATTGCTTTCATCTCTAGTTTGCTCTGCCTTATAAAGGGTTAATAAAGAAGTTAAGGAAGAATAATTCAAAGTATATTTAAATATTTTTTTATTAACAATTCCATTTTTTAAATAATTATTAATAAAAAATAGTTAAATTTTTGAATGAAAAGAAAGCGACTTGTAATTGGTTGTGACGTCATTATAGCCGTTGAGGCTGTGCGCCAATCGCAATCATGTTATACTTTTGTATTTTCTATATACAAATCACCATGTGTCAACAAAACATAACTTGTATTATGCAATGACATTTCTTTTTAATTTTGACAACGTAAACATGAGTGTTTTATCATGTCACCATGCGGTGGCGTTACTAAAGCGATATAATAACGTCACTTTCATTTGAATTTACATTTTAGAAAAAACATTTTTATTTGTAAAATTACATAAAAAATCAATTGTTAAAAAAATATTTGTCTTAATAATTTTTAGTAAACTTTCAAAAAATAAATGAAAAATCACGCAACTTCTCTATTTACCACTGGTTCGAAAAATATCTCTGTCCTGGGAAGAACCAGTATGAAACTCACCGGTACTTCTTTTTTGAAAAAAAAAACAGACACTACAATTACGTGTTACACAATTAACCACACAAAAAACAATAAAAGAAAAGCTTTGTAGCGATCACCTTATTCCCGGGATTTATTATCATCTATAAGTTCCTTGTTATAATATTTTTTTTATACAAACTTATTTAATAAAGTTTTTGATCTTTGCGTTCAAGTTTTGTGTATTTTCTGAGACTTCGTTGCAAAAATAGCTTTCATAAGAATTGCCAATGAAACTACTAAATTTAATAACAATTATAATATTATGTTCGCTACAACAAATTTCAATACAGTCTTAACGGAGACTAGCCATCTGTGCAGAACTGGATAATAATGCACGAGTGTGCATGCAGAAACATCGCCAGCTAACTCCGGCCTGCTTACTGAGCAATTCTCGACAGAAAATCCCATAAATAGCTCGCTGGACTTTATAACTGTATAAGTGACATTACAAGTAAATAAACAATTTTCCTTGGCTTAATTACGTCGACTATACATAATTAATTAAATTTTGATCACAAAATTCCTTTAAATAGTAAAGTGTAAGTGCTCAAAGGGTAATACATGGTAGAGTCATGCTGCAGTTATATTATGGTTTTAGTACGAATGAGTCGGCTCGACTAAGGTAGGACCACGCCCTCGCAGAATACCAATAATAATAGTAGCTTAATTACTGTTTCATATAGTGATTGTTGAGAGCCGGCAACCTTTTTTACTTGAAACGAGGTATTCTTAGTCCTCGGGGATGACAACGCATCTGCATTTTGATACTTGATCGAGGATAGATGTGGATGTCTATGGGCCATAGCATCCACTTATCATAGGTGGACTGTGTGCTCGTTTCTCAACCATCTTCTATAAAAAAAATTAGTAAAATATCTTACCGTTAACGTTATACCACCCCGCCTCGTCATTGTCAAATAGTAACCATCGTAAAGTATGTCTCTTTCATTGTCAAAAACTGGACACTAAAACAATAAATGTTATTTTGTAATAATGACTTATGATATAAAAATTAATATTGTTTACTGATGATATTCTGATAACGTGTTTCAGGTAAAAAAATAAAGAAACCTGTGGTTAAATCATTACACCTTTATTTATTTAAATATAATCAAAAACAGAACTCGGGTTCCATTATATCAGTGGTTCTTATCCGGTGGCACAGCCTAAGAAGAACATACAGTCAGTCATCGCGTTTGATGTCGTCGGAAACGCCGACATAAACAATAAATTGCTAGGGCTGTCAGAACGGGAAGTAATAAAAAAAAATTAAAAAACTGATTTTATTTTATTTCAAGTTTAAACAAATTAATGTCTATGTGGAGACTGATGAAATTAATTCCTTATCTTTAAATAAGGACGAGCCACAGTTTTTACCGCACATGTAGTGTGAACCATTTTAATTTATTTGCGTGACAGGACAACCCTAGCGGACAGTTCCCGAGCGGCTAACGAGATCTCCGACCGCGTCTCGCTCCGCACCGCACCGCAAGATTGCCCTGTCTAGACGCCTTTGATGACCGACTGTTAGTAGTAGTTAGACTGTGTCGGTAGTCCTTGGACTACTGGTAGTCCCTAAAGGTGCCCGAAGTGGTCCGCAAAAGCATCTTCTATTCTCTTCCATATAAAAAGGTTGACAGTTTTTAAAAAGGTTGGTCGGTGTGCTCGGCTTCTTGAATTGCAAAAACTATATACTATATGGCATTGACATTGGCATTGCCAGTAAGTAAGCATGAAATATATATATGTTCTTTGGAGGATTATGTTACGAAAGAGACAGGTTCTCCAATGGAAACCTCGTACCGGTAAACGAAGTGTGGAACGGCCCCCGACTAGATGGAGTGACGATCTGGTAAGAGATGCAGGAAGTCGATGGTTGGGCATGGCTCAGGACTATACTTTGTGACATTCCATGGGGGAGGCCTATGTTCAGCAGTGGACTTGTAAAATGCTGTAATGGTGATGATGTTTATTAAATAAACGCAGAAATAACTCACCGAGAAGTTCTGGATAGAGATGACTGCACAAATATCGTCATCTGATTCTATCATAACGATGACACTCTTCGGCCTGGAGAACCATCCGTAGCTTCTTTCCATGTTACTCTGAACGAAGTACCTGTCCAGCGTTCTCTGTTCTGAATCGTCGAGCCTCTTATTACAGATATACTTTCGTTTAATACTTATCGCGTTCAAATCGACCATTTTATTTGGCTCTTGGTTGAATGGGTAGAAATAATACTTGGGCTGGCTCGGTGTGGTTGTGAGGTTAGTCTCAGTGTTCAGCTTTATGAAGAAATCTTGGACAGTCTCGACTGTAATTGTGACCATTATGGGCTCTGGAGACGACGATGTCAAGTGGACTATAGGTGTGTTTAATGTTGACACGTCTGCAAACAAATATAACACGTCAAATTATAAGTGACTTAAGTCAAATTATGCTATTTCTTTACAGTTTAGTGTACTTTTGTCCATCTATAGCTTGTAGTCGAACTCCTAGGAAAATATGGTTTGAAACTTAGCTAAAAATAAAAATAAAAAAGAAGGCAGACTTAAATTTAGAGAATATTGCTATGAATAGAATACAATAGAATAGAATCATTTTATTCAATATAGATTATAGTACATAATACTTATTGAAAGTCATTTTTTACTTTTACTACTAGTTCGTAATAAAAAAACCTCTGTCCTGGGAAGAACCAGCAAGAAACTCAGCGGGACTTTTTCTTTAAAGCACAATTTACATCTATATGACAGTGACCAGTTTTTCAAAATATATACATATATTATACATACTTAAATATCTCGCTAAATATACAACGTGTCCCAAACCTTAACATTAAGCGGGCACCTGGGAGTGGATACTTGGCACACAGGCTACCCAGGGAAAAAAGCAGACTCTTTTTTGAAGTTACAAGAACTTTTTCTAAATACTTTAAAATTTAACACACAATACAATATTTTTAGATATTTTTTTTTTTTGTATTTGAAATGCAATTTAGAAAATTTTAACTTTAAAGAGGATTGTAAAGTGCCGATACGCGGCGGGAGAAGGTATTTTCAAAAATGCTATCTGTTTCTTACCGCTCGCTTTGCCTCCCGTATCGTGCGATAGAGAGAGTAGCAAGTCTTGGAAGCAATTGCCTACATTTCCTTATTGAAATATTGTTTCGGGCAATAATGTTTTCACCCCCACTAAACCTTTACGAAATGAGATAATTTTGGTTTCATTAGATTTAGTACACCTTAATGTAGGTGGTCTGTACATTTCTTTTTTAGTAAATCAGTTTAATTTATTTAAAAAATATAAAAACACTCGAGGAAGTTTTAAGTAAAAAAAAAAAACAGATATTTAGATGCTAATAACTTACATCGCACGCAATATTTCTTGAAAATAAAACCATACAGACCTAGTTTATCATTATATCTATAACATTGCCAAAAATTATGAAAATCATACTGTGTTTACTGGGAGAAAAACGTTATCGCCTTTTGTATGAAAATTTACAGCTTCACAATCTTCTTAATCAAATTTCTCTCTTCACGTATAAAAAAATGTATCAACACTACTATGACAAGTTATTATAAAACTTTGCACAACTAATCAAGATTCTAAAATGGTATAAAATACTCAAGTGATACTAAGCACAAAAAAATATTCATATTTTTTCTGAACAGAAACAAAACATAAATTTTAATTATTATCCTTGAATACGTTATTGTGTGTTCCAAAAACCAAAGGTTTTGGGTTACAGATTCAAGTAGACAAGCGTCGTCAATAGATTTTTGAAGTGCGATTGAGAGATAGATAGTAACATCATTTTTACACTCCCTAGTGCCCGGCCGCTTAATATTGAATTTTGGGACAAGCTGTATAATAATAATTCATTAAAATTAATTATATTATTAATTTATATTCATTTGAATGATTGTAATGTTACGGTATAATCCTTGTTAGTGGAAATACTTATTGTTAATAAAAATAATTTAATATATTTATATAATTTAAACCTATATTATTAATAATTTTAACCTATTAAGAAATATAAATAAATACTTCGAGTGAAACCTATACAGAAACGCGTGGAAACATAATAGAAGGAGTATTTACGTATCAAGGGGCCACAGTAGAACCTTATCCGGTCTCCACTCACTACGTAGGCGTGAACAGAAAGAAACAATATGGTTTACAACTCGAAAACTAACTGACGTGAAACTAATTGAGGTCAACTTTAGCTTAATTTAGCCCGAGGGTAAATCAGGCCCTGCTTACATTTTCAACAGACTTTTGACGGGAGAAGGTCTGTGCGCAGCTGAGGGAGGTAAGTATAAACTGTAACTTTGCCTTATATATTACAAGTGTGTATTTGTAAGGAACAGTATTTTTAATCTCACCGCATGTGTCCTCATCCTCAGAATATATATTATTGTGTGGACAAAGCGTGCGGGAGATGTTGGTGAACTGCTCCAGGCTGTCGGGAGTTTGCACCAGCATCGGCAGCTGCCACGAGAACACACCTAAAAGTTAAATAATCTAATAAATAAAATAATTAGGAACATACCAACAAACTTATTTATTTAGTCAGCCAAACGTGTCAGTTAACATTACAGGCTCTTATGACCAAATGCGATAGTGTAATCATTTTACTATATCATCTTAATTATTATATTATAAATAATGCCTTTGTTAATTCACTATGAGAACATATGAATTACGTATAGTTGTACTTCCTTATGTATTAGATTAAGTAGTCTAGTTAATGAATATATAATATTATACGTGGTATAGCAATGTTGCAGCTATATTATGTTTGTAACACGAATGGTCGGCTCGATCGGGAAGGACCACGCTCTCACAGAATACCAGCATAAAATAGTGCGTTTCGAATGGTGGTGTAGAGAACCGAAGACCCATTTTGACTGGAAACGAGGCATTCCATCTTAGCACGCAGTCCACCTGATGGTAAGTGGATGGTGTGGCCCATAGACATCTACACATTTATGCTCAATTATGAATCAAAATGCATATGCGTTGTCTCCCGAGAACTAAGATGGAATGCCTCGTATTCTGTAAGAGCGTGGTCCTCTTCCCCGGTTGAGCCGACCCATTCGTGCTACAACAATACTACTAATATAGCTGCAGCATGGCTCTGCTACGTAATATAAATATATATATGCAGTAAATTTACCTTAATTTTTTGGCCGTTGAAGGAAAAGGGAAGATCTCCCACCGGGCAAGCTTTCTGCCCCGGGGAGCGACCAACACTCTATGTGTTATTTCGGAGCTGTTCTATATATGACGCGTTAACTTCAGAACTTTGATAGCGCGATTTAGGTTTCGGTGCGTTTTGCTTACGGCTCGTCGACAGCACCGCCACACTTTTACTTTACAACAGGAGATGTTCATCATTTTCATTTCTCAGGCCTCCTCTAAGCCTACCTTATAAAGAGGATATATGCCATGGTTGCCACGCTTGGCGGGTCGGGTATTTTCTAGTTGTTACTAGGACGACGCTGCATCTCCTGGTTTGTTTCCCTCTGTCGCCTCTTACGACACCCACGGGACAATATGTGGTAGTGCAGATTCTTACTAGGGATGCATCCCATACCGATACCGCTACTGAGGGTCTACTACCCACCCCAGGTGTCATTGATACAGGCTTGCGAAATTACCTTTCTCCGTAAAATTTGAGAATACTTTTCTTAAAATCTTATGTTTATTTTAATCACTAACACTATTAACCTTAACAATTAATTTTCATACTAATAATTAAATTATAAGTTTGTAATTTTTATATTAATCTATAAAGTTAATCCATATAAATAAAATGATATAAGTTTGCAGTTATGCGCGCATATCACTGAGAAACTGCTGGATGGATTTCAATTAGGTTTTCTAAGTTTTATTTCTTAGGGTGCATACAGATTAAGTAACATGTTGTGTAACTTTTGTTTTATAACACGTCCACATTGTTTATCAACATTGCATCATATAACAATACTGTACACATTAGAATAACAATGCAATATAACAATGTTATATGACATTGTCGTTTGTCGTTCTGCAGTGCTTTTCACAATGTCGACACGAACAGATGTTTTGCTAGCTGTTTAGCTAGCAGCAACACTTGTACTTTTAAATGACAAAAGAAAAAAAACATAGATACTGGGTACGTCCCAAACAAACATAGTTTATTGACTAGAGAAAAATACTCTCGAGTTATATAACATTTGTGTCACGTTATAACGCATTTTATTACATTTAGTCTCCACATTACTGAAACACGTTATATAACAATGAAAACTGTACTGAAACCATATTGCGAGCATATATGAAAGATTTAAAACTTAATAATATTCCAGTCACTTTATTGCAGAACCCGAACCCATTTTTACTGGAAACGAGGCTTTCCATCTTAGTCCTCTGGGGTGACAACGCATCTGCATTTCGATTCTTAATCCAGAATAGATGAAGATGTATATAGGCCGCAGCGGCCACTTACCATCGGGTGGACTGTGTGCTCGTATGTCACCCTTATTCTATAAAAAAAAAACTCGTGACAATATGGAGCAGTGGGCAATGAATATTCCTACACCGTCACTATACGTTTAATACACTGGGAATGTTGCAGTGCTGATTTTAGGAGGACCATATTGTTTGAGAGCCGTGGTAGCGCTCAGGGGCTAAACGCCCGCTGTAAATTTCACAGTACGCGAGCAAGCCGGGTTCTATCCCCGCCGGCACCAATGAAATTGTTAATTGCAATATTTAGTGCTAAGTGTGAAGGCAATCATGAGGAAACCTGCATGTATGAGAAATAAAAAAAATATTTCGAAAACATGTGAAGTTCGCCAACACGCATTGGGGCAGCGTGGCATACAGAGGAGCAGTCGGACGTATATAGGCTGTAACTTTACATTGTGTACAGATAGATTTACTTGCCTTGCACATATAACTTATCCCTTAATTTAAGTATTAACTGTCTATATACCTGTCTGTTTCTACTGTTATTTTATGAAAAGAGAGAGAGAGAGAGCAACCTTAAATATTTATTTATTGACCTTAAATATTTCATACGTATTATTTTACGTCGATTTTATGAGTATAGTATCGGGTATATATAATAATATAGATTTGCATGTTCAATAACATAAAATTGGCATACCTTTCTGTTGCCTAGCAGTTATAAAAAGCGGGTAGGTGCGATTGGCAAAGTCACTTGCTACTGTTACGCGAGCTGGAGTGTCGTATTCGTCTAGGTCCTAAAAATTATTCACAGATGTATTAAAACTTAAAACCTTCATTCATTCATTCATTCATTATAGCCTATCACACGCCCATTGCTATTCATAGGGCTCCCTATAAATTGCCTCATAGGGGGTTCATTTGGTCAGTTATCATAGTGGCGCTTGGCAGGCATATATTTATATACTTGTATTTATATATATGGTCCGAGAGCTCATGACGCATTTTTCATGAAGTGTTTGATGCATCATGAAACTTTGTTTAAAGGTATCAGTCGACTCAATAAGCAGGTATATGACTGTCTGCCTGGCCTACCTGGGTACACCTGGTACTGCGCATACAGGTAGGTCTCAAAAAAATTTGCCCAAAAAAAGTGTTTGATTCAAATAATAATAATAACTATCCATCAGCTAAGTTTATAAAGAATTAAGAAAAAAAATGGCAGACACTTCTGAAGGGGTTTACATAGGGGCGGACGACCCCAAAGTTGTATTTTCAAAAATTCCAAAAATAGTGTTTGATTCAGTTTGCCATTTTTACAGCGTGTTTATTATATATAATAAAAAATTCTCACAAAAGGGCAGACAGTTTCTCCGGGGGCTACTAATTTAAAAATCTATACAAATAAATAAAATTTAAGTGTCTGTTTTTAATGTCAAAATAACATTTTTCTTTACTCAACGCATATGATATTATACCTAGTCAGGTCATAAATTCTGTCACATGTTTAATATAAAATAATTGAAACAAGTTTATTCATTATGTAACCATTTATATACCAAAATGAACTTAACAAAACATAGATTCTTATGACACTAAAGTTTATTCCAAATGACCTCCGTGATTTTGAATACAGGCCTTCAATCTGCGCGGCCAGTCGTCTATCGCAGCACGAACGAGCTCCATGTCAATATCGGCGGCTGCCTTAATCAAGGATGTCTTGAGTGAGCATGCCTTTTCCTCCAAGTGTTGCCATATCTTGTAATCTAACGGATTCAAATCTGGACTGGAGGAGGGCCAGTCTTCGTGCCGGATGAAGTCGATTTCACGCGCCGCCAGCCAGTCTTGTGTGCTCTTCGCTCTATGAGCTGGCGCCGAATCTTGTTGGAATACCCAGTGCCTGTTATTGAACATGGTATGAGAAACAGATTCCACAAGGTTCTTCAGGACTGTATTTTGATACACAACTACATTCGTTTTTACACCTTTCTCACAAAAATGTACCTCTGTTAAGCCCCAATAAGAAACTCCCAACCATACCATGAGCGAGGTTGGAAAATGACCTCGTTGGACACGCGGAATACGATTGCTCGCTTCTTCACTACTGTGTGCGTACATCTTATCATTTTGTTTGTTGTAGCTCTCTTCTACGGTAAAAATTTTTTCATCCGAAAAAAGAATTAGAATGAGATATTTTTTTCCCGCGTACCGCTTCAACAAAGCGCGGCATCTCTTCAGTCTCAGGTCCATTAGACGAGCATTCAAACGATGTCCTGTTTTTCTTCGATATGCCCGAAGCCCTAAGTCTTCATTTAACACCCTTTTCACCGTGGTTCTGCTTAACCCCATCTGAAGGGCCAACAGTTTCTGCTTACGTTTGGGATTTATTTGAATTCGCGCCTTCACAGCTTTTATCACTGCTGGAGTCCTAACAGACCGAGGGCGACCACTTCTTGACCTGTCATCTACACTAGAGTCTTCATTGTATCGTTTGATGGTACGATAAACGAATCTTTTGGTTTTATTCACATTTTTCAGTATGTCAAAAATTTGAATTGGCGCGTAACCGCAACGATGCAACGCAATAACTGCAACACGGTCTTCTTTAAGCGTCCACTCCATATTTAAAAATGAGTAAAATTCTAAAAAGTATACAGTTTTATTTTCATGAACAATTCGAAATTCGAATTCAATAAACTTTTTTGTGGCCAGCATTCTAAAAGAAAAGTTTTACTGTGTGACAATACTTATGACCTGGCTAGGTATAAGATATTTATAACAAAAACACAATTTTTAAAATTTTTGTCTCTCTGTCTGTTTGTTCCAGCTAATCTCCGAAATGGCTGGACCGATTTTGACGGGACTTTCACTGGCAGATAGTTGATGTTGTAACGTGTATTTTAGGCTACTTTTATTCTAGAAAAATTATTAGGGTTTTGCGCAAAAAAAAAACCCTAAATTACACGCGGGCGAAGTCGCGGGGAACACCTAAAGTTTAAATAAATCTTGCGTGGAGAGGAGACAAATATGTTACGGGTTGTAATGATTGCGACAGAGAGCGACGGTCGTCGATATGTCTTTAGTCATTCTTCGCGCTCCCATTGCGGATCACGTGATCTTGTACAGGTGTTACAACTAAAATGTAATATATGCATTAGCATGATATTACGCATAACATGACTATAATATAATTTTTTATTCTTACTTAAAAATATTTATATATTTTATTAGATGAATATTTCAAGAAGTAGATAAAAGTGAAGTTTACTCAAATGTACAACAATAATTACAGCTAATGGAGATTTTTTATTAGTTAGTTACAATGAAAAAAATTCTGACAAAATGAAAGAAAAAATATATCTATAGGAAATATATACATAAATACATATATTTTGTTAGTTTTCGCTTTAACTGTCACTGAAATCTGACTCTTTAGCATCGGTTGATTCGTATTCATCATTTGTAAAACAATCAATAAAATAAAATAAATTAATTTCAAAATACTGAACAGTTCTGTTGGAAGTGTTATTTTCCGAAGTTTTGATAGCATCTAATACGGTTTCAGGTACGCAATCACCTTCAAACCACTTAAATTCATACGTTTCATTTTTTAATATCCATCCATTACCAGCTGGTACCAAATTAGTTGGATTAACCAAGTAAGCATTGCGCCAATCACTGGTCATGTATTGCGTACGCAAAAAATGCTGGTGTAATTCTGACTTAGACGGCGATAAATTTTAGGCATCATATCTTTGAATAGATTTTTGGAATGGTTCATTCGTATTTTTCAATTTATAAGTAGAGCAAAACTTTTGAAATCGAGCAATATTAACATTCGTACAGTTTTTCCATTTCGGAGATTAGCCGGAACAATTTTTTTTGCGCGGAACCCTAATAATTTTTCTAAAATAAAAGTAGCCTAAAATACTCGTTATAATATCAACTATCTGCCAGTGAAAGTCCTGTCAAAATCGGTCCAGCCATTTCGGAGATTAGCCGGAACAAACAGACAGACAGACAAAAATTTTAAAAATTGTGTTTTTGTAATAAATATCGTATCATATGCAAAATTATTTAGTAAAAAAAAAATGTTATTATGACATTAAAAACAGACACTTAAATTTTATTTATTTGTATAGATTTCTAAATTAGTAGCCCCCGGAGAAACTGTCTGCCCTTTTGTGAGAATTTTTTATTATATATAATAAACACGCTGTAAAAATAACAGACTGAATCAAACACTTTTTTTGGAATTTTTGAAAATACAACTTTGGGGTCGTCTGCCCCTATGTAAACCCCTTCAGAAGTGTCTGCCATTTTTTTTCTTAATTCTTTATAAACTTAGCTGATGGATAGTCATTATTATTATTTGAATCAAACACTTTTTTTGGGCAAATTTTTTTGCGACCTACCTGTATGCGCACGCGCAGTACCAGGTGTACCCAGGTAGGCCAGGCAGACAGTCATATACCTGCTTATTGAGTCGACTGATACCTTTAAACAAAGTTTCATGATGCATCAAACACTTCATGAAAAATGCGTCATGAGCTCTCGAACCAATACAAATACGTTACTAGCACGCCAAAACTGAAGCATCGGAAAGAGTTCAATGAATCCACGACTTATTCTGTCACCAGGGCGGCGCCACTAGAAAGATATTTGACAGATATCATAGCGGGGAAGTTAATTTATTCGGAAAATATAAAAGTTATTGTTTCTTTCTGCACTATTAGCTATATATCATATTATTAACATTAAAAATAAACAAATCCACAAATATTCATAAAAGTAGAAAAATTAAAAAAACAGTTAAAAAAGTGCAAAAAATTAAAGAGCAAACCACTGGCGCATTGTTTTGTGTATTAATACATATAATACTCTAGAAACTGATAAACTTTTATTAAAAAACAACTTCACAATTAAATTACATTGTGTAAAAAAAAACTTTAGCTCAGTGTCAACTAGCGACATCTGGTGAGCAGAAAATTATTAGCCCTCATTACCCACCCCGGCAATTAGCTAAAAAATACGACGCTATGATTACGGTTGCTTAAAAACACAAAGTGTTGTCCTTTGTGTTTTAAGCTACAGTATGCCGTAATCAACAGACGTTCAAGAACTGTTGCTTGAAAATGAAAACATAAAGAAAAAGGAAAAAGGTTTATACTGATAAAAAAAAAACTTACTGCTGATGGAATTTTTTTTATAGAATAATGATGACAAACGGTAAGAGGATGCTGCAGCCCATAGACATTTACATTCATACTCAATTAATAGTCAAAATGCAGATGCGTTGACACTCCTGAGGACTGAGATGGAATGGCTCGTTTCCAGTAAAAAGTATCTCCGGTTCTCTACAATCACCATACGAAACACAGCAGCATTAAGTTGCTACTTTACGCTGGTATTCTTGAGAGCGTGGTCCAACCCCGGTCTAGCCGACACAATCGTGCTGTAACCAAAATATAGCTGCAGTATGGCTCTACCTCGTAAGAAAAAGTAAATTATCTAATAATTATATAATAAAATGTATAATATATGAGGATTTTAGGACATAAAAGTGTAAGAAAAAAATCTCACGCCGGCAAATTCCATTATGTATTCGGTGTTCTTACTGACATACACCACATACGGCACATTGTACATGTACCTAGAACAAAAAACATATAATTAAATATCAGAAATTACATTGCTGAAAACATAGATCATCTGTTAGTGATTGTGGAACTTATGCTAACTACTTTTTTATTTAGAATAAAGCTGGAGTGACGACCTGGTAAGACATGCAGGAAGTCGATGGATGCAGGTGGCTCAGGACCGTGCTTTGTGGCGTTCCTTGGGGGGAGGCCTAAGTTTAGCAGTGGACTTGTGAAGGGATGTAATGATGATGATGATGATGATGATGATAGCAAATATATAGATAAATACATATATTTTGTTAGTTTTCGCTTTAACCGTCACTGTAATCTGACTCTTTAGCATCGGTTGATTCGTATTCATCATTTGTAAAAAAAATCATTAGTAAATGACAATCAATAAAATAAAATAAATTAATTTCAAAATACTGACCAGTTCTGTTGGAAGTGTTATTTTCCGAAGTATACGAATACGATATGATCCTTGTTGGTCGAAATATACTTAGTCGGGTCATAAACTTATATGAAATCATTGAGTTATATGTACTACGTACTAGAGAAGCCATTTCGAACATTGACTATGTTCAACTGAACTGTAGTGCAATCCATACAAACTAAATATTGCGTAAATTGAAGATTTGTGAATTCCATTAAATAATTATTATTACATTTTATTTAGAAATATAACATGTTTGTTTAGATGAAATTAAGATATTTTATATTAAATTCTTATATTTATTTTATATTAATATCTTATATCAAATTAAAGTCGTCGAGCATGCGCGACTACTACTCCCGCGCATGCGCGAAGACATAGAGTAGGACACAGTTTTTGTTTGAAATGGCTTCTCTAGTACGTAGTACATATAACTCAATGTATGAAACTAGCTGGCCAGGCAGACGTTGTTCTGCCCTCTCCGACGACCCTGTGTCCTATAAAAATTCTTAAATTCGTAATAAAAATACTGAGGGTCACTTATAGGGATAAAAACTATCCTATCTCTCAAGTTGGACCAAACGGCACTCGTGTCATAAGTTCTGTCTAAACCTTCTTATTTAAAATTTTTGAATACTTCCTAGATGAACTTCACGAAATTTAAAAATATAACGTTTGCGCTTGCCGAAAATAAAAAGACATTAATTTTCATTCATTTTCAAATATGGAGTGGTCGAAGAAAGAAGACTGAGTAACGGTTATCGCGTTGCACCGCTGTGGTTACGCGCCATAACAAATTTTCAATATTCTACAAAAATTGAAAATAACCCTACGATTTGTTTATCGCACTATCAAACGATTCACTGAAGATTCAAGCTTCGAAGATCGTAAGAGGACCGGCCGACCTCGTACAGTTAGGACATCCGCGATCATCAAAGCAGTAAAGGCGCGAATCCAATGAAATCCTGTTCGTAAACAATAAATCTTAGCTCTTCTCTGCTCTTAGGCCCACGGTCAAAAGAGTGATTAATGAAGACCTAGGACTACGAGCTTATCGTAAGACGACCGGGAATTTTTTTTGAACGAGCGTTTGAATAAAATTAGGCTGGATAGATCCCGCGCTTTGTTACGGCGGTACGCGCGAAAAAATGCCGCGAAATTTTATTTTCGGATGAAAAATTTTTAACAAGCATATCCAGACAAATTAAAGGTTGCTACTTTGGTAAAATTCAACCCCAAATTCCTCCAAAACCTTTGTTATTTAAATTTAGCTTTTTGAACAAACAAATCACATCTACAATCTGCCGTTAAAGGCTTGGGCATGCCTGCACTCCTGTATTTCTAGCTAAAATTAGAATCAAAGATCATTCCCTCTGTGAATGTGGTCTAGATGAAGATACCCCAGACCACATTTTCTTTAATTGCCAAAATCACCCAATTTATTTATATGACATTCTTCCCAAAACAATCCCTCGACAAGTGAATATCAATTCCCTCTTAACTATCCCCGATTCCATATATGTCAATATGATCTCAAAATATATTCAAATGTATAATATTAAATTCTAATTATTGTGTACTAAATTTAGCTTAACCTAATTCTCTATTGCCGGCCCAGGCTAATTCCCTCCTATAACTAGATGTTTGCTCTATATTGTGTGGTCCATAGAAGTATTAGGGTGTGGTCCATAATTCATGTATTTAGTTGCTTTGTTTTTATCCACATTTTCACCTAATAACCGCTAACTCCTTTTCCACCGAAAAGCCTTAAGACAAGGTGTGACAGACCAAAGACCGGACATTGGCAGAATTATTGTGACATAACCACAATATCAAGGGCCATATAGACAAAAAAAAACATCGAATAAAGTTATAATAAACAAAATGATAAAGTATGTGTTCACAGCAATGAAAAGCCAGCACGCGTATTCCGTGGGTTCAACGAGGACATTATTCTTCGTCATTCACGGTTTGGCTTGGAGTCTCATATTCAGGCTTAACTGAGGTGTTTCTTTTGTGGAAATGGTGTAAAAACCAGTGCCGACGTGTACCAAAATACCGCCAGAACAAGCATAGTCTTTCTCAAACAATGTTCAAAAACAGACATTGGATATTCCAACACGACTCTGCACCAGCTCATATTTGACTTTATCGGACATGAAGACTGGCCCTCTTCTAGTCCAGATTTAAACCCACTGGATTACAAGATATGGCAACATTTGGAAGAGAAAGTCTGCGCTAAACCTCTTCAGAACTTGGAATCTCTTCCAGCATCTTTGTCTAAAGCAGCGGTAGAAATAGATATGAATGTAATTAATAGAATCAGGCGTTACTTTGCGGAAATGCATTATATAAAAGCTTTTAGAAAAATTTTACTTCGCAAATATCCGCGTTATACTTAGTAGGTAGAGAGCGGTTGCATCATCGGTCTGTATAAAAGGCACTTGTTTTGGCTCGCCGCTCACTTAGCGGTTAGCCACCGTAGAGTCTATATCACCTGAGGATGCCTCGTGTAGAGGCGAAACACGTGTCGTATTATCGTCAGTGGTGTGTCTTGCCTAGTGTAGTGGTGTTGGGAGTAGCGGTGCTGAGATTAGTGGTGATGGGGATAGTGCACGCAATTGAGGGAGGGCGGGAGGTGCTCTTCATACTAGGTAAGACACATTATTTTATAACGCGGATATTTGCGAAGTAAAATTTTTCTAAAAGCTTTTAGATATGAATGTGGTGCGTGCTGCGATTGATGATTGGCCGCGTCGATTAAGGGCATGTATTCGAAATAGGGGAGGACATTTTGAATAATGTAAATATATAAATACAAATTATGTGTCACATTGTTTGTCCGCGATGAACTCCTAAACTATTTTGCACACTGAGGTCTAAGATAAAATGCTTTGTTACCAGTAAAAAGAGTCTCAGATTCTCTACACTCACTATATGAAACAAAGCATTATTCTGCTGTTTCACGTTGGTATTCTGTGAGTGCAAGATCTTATCTTACACTACAGCCGAACCTTCTGTAGCCATTATATAGTAACTTCAATAATTTTGCTTAAATATTCATACCGAGTCATTACTAATCAAACATTGAATATTAAAATACACAGTAAAGAGTAAGAAAAACAATGCAATTAATAATGTGATATCTATTACTATTTTGTAGAGATATGAAAGGAGCACTGCCCTATACGTTTTAGATTTATATTTATATTTTTATTTTACTCTGTTGTAATAATCACATATCATAAAGGCAAAGGTCATAAAATATTGAGTATGGATAGAAAGCGAAATATTTATGTGCTAATAAATACATTAAGGTTAATCATCAAAGACTTTAATGTTACCTTTTTCGATTCCTCAATAAAACTCCCAAGTTTTTGGGATAAAATATAGCCTAGATCACTCCTGACATCGCTTTTTAAATGTTTGTGAAGTTTCATGATAATCGGTTAAGACATTATTAACCAGAAATAGGAGTCTCAATCTAATGAAAATTATGAATGTGAGGTATATATATATTTTATAGGATAAGGGTAGTGGTGCAATCGATGCATCTCAGCCAACGCAGTAGCAGTTTATTGATGCTTTTCTTGAAGAAATCAGCTGGACAAGATGCAAGAAATTTTTTAAAGGCATTTTGTACTGCCTGTCGAGTATTGAATTTTTTTCCGACGAAATATTTTTTTTTTATAGGATAAGGGTGACAAACGAGCCACAGTCCACCTGATGGTAAGTGGTTGCTGCGGCCCATAGACATCTACATCTATCCTCTGTTACAAATCAAAATGTAGATGCGTTGTCACCCGTGAGGACTAAGATGGAATGCCTCATTTCCAGTAAAAAAGGCTTCCGGCCGCCTGCACTCACCGAGCGAAACGCAGAGGTAAACCTCTACTTCACGCAGGTTTTCTGTGAGGTCGCGGTACTACCCCGGTTCGAGCCGGCCCATCCGTGCGACAGCAAAAGCTGCCGCGTGGCTCTACCACTGTTGAAACAATTTTATTTTTATATATATATATATATATATATATATATATATATAAAATTGAAGTGTTTGTGTGTAATATCGCAATAACTGCCTCTTATTAACCCTTTCACCGCCATAGCCGTAATATTACGAATCTTAAGGTGAATACCGTCAGCGCCCTCACGTAATATTCCGAAATGCTCATGTTACTAGTTACTAGTTACTAGTTACTAGAAAAACTGCAAGGTTTATTCGATTTTGCTATTAAATTTAATACATTTAATTAATTGTGGACAGTTGTAGACACCAATGTCAAAAAATTTATAGAAATATATAGTGTTACTAAGTGCAAGATGAAATTAAACACCTTGCTGCCTCACCATCCCCGTGATATTTCTGAGACCAGTGCTGCGCCACTGTAAAAGATTTATCCAAAAATTTATATTTGTATTGTTTCAAAATTAAAATGATAGTCAAGTCATCATAATGTAATAATTTAATGAACTGAACTAAACATTAAAAATTTAATTTCATATATTATTTAAATGATTTTTGCGGCAAGAAATAAGAATATTAATTCATAAACCAAACAACCCAAATGTAAAATTGAATTATCCCCGTACGTCACTAGAGCATTCGAGTTGAGAACGATACCACCATGAAGCATATAGCCAGCATTTCAATAAATTGTCAACTGTGGCGCCGTCACCGTGATAACACGCGTGTACTATACTTATTTGCATTTTTAGTGCTGGAAATTATCGATAATGCTAGATGAAGAAGAACTGTTAAATATTTTAGAATCGCATAATGATATTCACAGTTTCATCTACAGACAGTGATATTGAATCGGTAAGTAAATATTCATGTAAAATAAATAGTCAGGTATTTGAGAAACTTACACTACATTTATATTTGCTTAATTTATACATTTTTACAGGAACATAAAGAATCTTCTAGTATAGGAGTAGAATCATCATGTCAAAAAGTGATGAATCACCGCCGTTATCGCCATCTATTCGACCGAAAAAGAGAATAAAAAGAAAAATTTCCAAAAATGGTAGATCAACGCAGACCGAAAATCATTACATATGCTATGTGAAATCGGAAAAAGATAACTACACAGCTTATATAAGTTTGCCCGCTTCAAGATTCTTTAATTAAAGACCAGAAGATCCTCGAAATGAGCATTTTGGTACATTACTTGCATTTGAAATGGAGTCAGTCCTATACGAGATTCGATCGCAAGTGTATATGGACATAATAAATTTGATATATAACGCTCGGAAGGAGCTACATATATTAGATCAAGGTCCATGTCCATCTCCCGAATATTGATTAGTTTTATGAGGAGAATTAACGCTGATTAAGTGCAATGTGATTAATGAAAATTAAGACTGATTAAAGCTAGTGATGTGTCCAATAAGAAGAATGTTATGTTAATTAAAATAAATAATAATCTATAATTTTTAAAACTTTGTTTCATTTATCGATAAATGGTTGTTGCAACACTATGCAAAATATTAAATAAAAGTTCCTGGCGCTGGAGGCACTCCACGTCAACTAAAGCGCGGCAGTGAAAATGCCATTAAAACATAACAATTTTCAAAATTTTTGTCTGTCTGTCTATCCGGGCTAATCTTGATAATAGATGAATCGATTGTAATGAAACCTCACAAACAGATAGAGAGCAATGCCAGGTGTGAGTGACCTAGGCTATATTTGATCAGAAAAACAAGATTTTTATTGATAAAATGGTCCTTAACCGGTTCAGTGCGGGTGACACGCCAGGCGTGCCATGGATTACTTTTGTGTGTGGCGTATGACACGCGAGTCGTGTCTTTTTATAAATCGTTATAACTCGCTCAAATTGCTTTTTTTGGAAAATTTATCCAGAACAAAATATTCATTATTTTGCGAGTAGTTCATGCCTGCAGCGTCGTTTCTGGATATTTTGAAAATTTGAAATTTTTAGGGGTTGACAATCTTTTTTTAACGTGTACATGGTACTATTTTTACTTTGTGGGTGTTAAATCATGTTATGGAAAAATTGTCTAATAAGTAACAAATAATAGCACTCACAAACTCAAGTTGTAAATAAATTTCTGGAAAACAAGTCTCCTGTTAAAAAAACAATGCGTTTGTCTCATTGTTTAATTTTGCTTAAAATGGTTGAACTGCCGTCTTATTACTATCGTATGGCCGAATAGACCTACGAAGTACCATGTGCTCTTGTGATATGGTATAAAGTTTATTTTTGCTTGAAACAGTTCGAAACCGTTCATGCATAAAAAAAGTTCCCTAATAAATAGTCTTTTGTCAATCCGCCGCCGCATAGCGCCGGCGCTTTTTTCCTTTTGAAAACACTTGTTTTGCTATTCTTACTAATTAGACGTTTTCAGATCGACTTTACTTTTACATTTGTATAACATTAAATAATATTTAATATTTGTAAATATCAATGAATGATATACCTTTTTTTTTTTCAAATTAAGGTTCTTCATTGTTTGATATTTACAAATGTTATTATTAGGTGAAAATTTAATTTAATAAAAACCAAGGTTTCCAGGGGGATTTAGCTGTACCTACTTATATAAATGATTTTTTTATAACAACAAAAAATAGTACAAATTAAGGTTTGTAATCTCTTCATAAAAAAAGTCACTTTCTCTCAATTTCAAAGAAAACGCGTAAAAAAACACGTAGTTACCCACTAAAAACAAGTATCCTTCCATTTGTAACTTATGTTTGATGTCAAATAAACTTAATTAGGTCTAAACAAGTAAAAAAAGAATAAAAAAGAACATTACTATTACACATGGCGGATGGCACTGTGGCGCTGGACACGCCCGGCGTGTCATGAAATATTTGTTCGCCGCCACAGCTAAAAGTTGTCGAAAATTGGTGCCGCAAAGAATTGTTTAATTATCCTAAATCTAAATAACGCCACATTTATAGACAGCCAAATACTAGATTAACAGAATGAACTGAACCACAATATAAGGCTGGACACTAATCCGGAATGCCTCTCTGAATTCATATTATTAATTAAGAAAGCCCAGAATTGCATACAATTTAACTATTATCCACACACATTCTGATTTTCTCAGATCTATCTGTAAGAATGACACTGACTAGCGTTCTGAATTACGGATCAGAATATTTAAGATTATGATTTCATAACATGCATTTTTCTATACTTTTGGACACGCAGACCCACACATACCGGAATCAGATTATAAATTGTTTCAGTTGACACTGCAAGAGGTAACGGCTAGATGAGATGCGACTTGTGGGCGAATTTCTAAAAAAAAATTGATTTTACTAAGTTTATGAGACTGACAGACCTCATCGCTATGTCTTTGTTGATTTTCCAAAGTTTATGAGACTATTGTAGTAGAATAATAAGAATAACATAAAACAACAAAAGATTTTACCTTATTTTAAGCCAGTTTTATTTCATTTTCTGCCTATTACATTAATTTATACACGTTGAGTTAAATGAATGATTTTTTTAATCAAAATCAAGCGATTTAAATCATGATTTAAATCAGTCTGATTTAAATCAGCCAACCCTGTTTTGATTATTTTCTGCCGACTTCCAAAAAGGAGACGGTACTCAATTAGACTGTAATTTTTTTGTTTTTTTTTTATGTGTGTTACCTCATAACTTTTTACTGGGTGAACCGATTTCGATTATTCTTTTTTTTATATGAAAGCTGATACTTCTTGTGTGGTACTGAATGAAATTGATCAAGGTCAAACCAATAGTTTTTGAGTTATTCTTAATAACTTAAATTGAAGTTGGCTGTACAAAATCTTAAATTATATGTTAATTAACTACATGTAAGGAATATATAGGGCTCTTCCAATATGGAGAAAATCCTTAATCAACATGCTTAGCAGGTGTAATCCCAAAAGCAGTGCCATATGTATTGCATCTTTGAGACAGCTCTTTATCCCTGATCAAAGTATATCATATGGGGAGACCACCTCTCCACAAATAGTTGGTGAGCACCATCTATTGGAAAATGTAAGATATTCATAATATATTCTATAGTTGTCTATAATATTCTATAGAGTCTCTCACACAGCACCAAAAAGACCTTGGACAATTATTTGTAGACAATACAATGTGATCCAACCGTCGGAACACATGTTTGATGTGATCCAACCGTCGGAACACATGTTTGATCTAAACTGAGGATGTCATCTTTGTGTTATTTGCAAAAGCACCAAATATTTAGCAGATAAAAGGAGTATAAATATTTTTATTTACTTATATAAGCAATTGCTTACAAAAAGGTGGACTTAATGCCCCAGAACATCTCAACGAGTCTACATCCATGTTGAGCAGAAAAGATATTAAGAGTGAAAAGTACAAACCCTGGTGTGTGAGTTTCAATGCTATTTTTCTATATGGTAGAGCCATACTGCAGCTATATCTGTAGTTGTAGGACGAATGGGTTGACTCGACCGGGGAAGGACCATACTCTCACAGAATACCAGTGTAAAATAGCAGCTTAATGTTTGTGTTTCGCATGGTGAGTGAAGAGAACTGGAGACCCCTTTTACTGAGAAACAAGGCATTCTATCTCAGTCTTCATGGGTGACAACGCATCTGCATTTAGATTTGTATTTGAGGATGGATGTAGATGTATATGTGGCATAGCAACTAGTCTACTGTGTGCTTGTTTGCCAACCCTATCCTATAAAAAAATGTATTCAATCCCAAAATTGTTTACAACAATTGGATCAGAAACTTGAATATTTTTATCTGCAAACAATAAATCAGGAAAACTCCTAAAAAGCTACAAAATCTATAATAAAATAGTTCATAGTTTGTGTTGTTGTTTTAATTGCTACACCACTTTATAATTTGTGTCTCTACGGTTTAACTACAGAACCTTTGATTATATAGACAGGTATATAATCAAAGCACAGAACACTACAGACTTTTTGTATGTATTATAGATCATCATTATCATCATTACAGCCCTTCACAAGTCATCCTAGTTCACAGTCATAGGCCTCCCCCAAGGAAAGCCAGAAAGGGCCACCTGGACCTGTATTATATTAAAAGCCATTAATTTATTTGAATAAAAAAATAGTTAAAGTAATCTTTGATATTATAGTACTCTTTGAAGTTATATTAACTTCTAAGAAATAATTAATATTCTCATGCAAATTACATTATTAAATTATCATTGTTGGCCAATACTTGAACAATAACTCACAGAGTACTTTTTATATAGGAAGCAATAACTATTAGCAGATGGAACTTTCTTTCAAAAACTTTATTAAACAAAAATTGGCGAATACTTACGTATTGTTGTAATGAAAAATAATCCCATTGTTCTTAGTTTGTTGGCAAAAGGAAAAGGGAATGCAAAAAACTAAACAAAGTAATAACATCATTGTTAGCTCCATGTTGCACTTCATTATGCCCATTGTAATTGTATTTGTACACACATTATATGAAAAGTTTGTGGTTAAAACAAATGATTAATTTTTTTAATTTTTTTTTTTATGTAACAAGATAATAAAAACACCAACACAAATAAAGTGTATCTATAATACAGATATAGGTAGCTGACGTTTACTTTACGTTACTGTTTTGACTTTTGATTATTTTTGATTTGACTTTTTTAATCTTTACGTTACGTTCAGATTCTATGATTCTCATTTATAAATATATAGATAGAGGTCCCTGGTATAGGCTACGTTCAGATGACAAGCGCTCAACGCGCGTTTTGATAACGCGCGCTTACAACTACATCATGGCTCCAGTACACGTTGGCCGAGCGCGCTTGGCGAGCGCACTCGGCAGATTTTCGTGGTGCCGTTCACACGTTGGCGTGTTTCATTCTGCGTTGGTAGCTAGATGATGATGGACGTTAGGGTAATTGCGGCCGCTGTCATATACTACTTATACAGCGCTTCACTCTTCTCATGCTGGGGCCACAGTAACGATAAACGTCAATGCCCAAAAACGCAACAATTATTGCCTTAATTTTAACGCGATAAACTGAGTGGCCACACTTGGGTCGGTCAACGTCATTTCAATTTTAATGCCGTTGAACGGCGTTAAAGTAAACTGACCATTTATTTATTAACTCAAAACGGGACATGGGTTTATTTATACTCCCCAGTTAGCAGGTTAACAGTAAAAAAAATATTATGTTATTTATTTAAAAACTGTAACTTTATACAATTAGTGTTCACTATAATTATAATCACATTAATTATAATTATTTTTATTTTAACAAATTGTAAAAAATAAAAATTAATCACCAGTTCACCAGCTTCATTAACGCAAAGTTCCTCAGACAGTAATTATTAAATGCAACATATTTTTTAATTATATTTATATTTGTCAGTGGAACAAATTTGCTTTAATAAAGTTGGTGATGATTTTAAATAAGGGCAAGTTTTTTTTACATTGATTTTTGTTATCAACGTCGCCTTTAGAACTGGAAACTGTAAGTGATTTTTTTTCAGACGTCCACAATTTATTCATAATAGAAAAATACTTTTTCTACTGGAGCATTTGTACCAGGTATACATAAAATATATTCGATTAAAATGCAAGAGAATGCATGTTGAGTATGTTGGTGAGAAATGTTTGAATCACTCAACGAATTTCTGCGAAAACTTTGAAATTATCCCATTCGGTAATTTTTTGGTCGGTCCCGCTCTCGCCCGTTCGTGTCTGACGAACTTCATAGTTTTAAATTTTCTCGCCGTTTAGTACAACGGGACTATTTTGGGTCCCGGATCTTTGTTTGGGACAACGGGACAGGTGACCGAGAAAAGGGACAGTCCCGTTCAAAACGGGACGTATGGTCACTTTACGTTAATATTCCTTGAATTTCAAGCAAGATGAACGTTGACGCTGCTACACTATGTTTGATGAGTGTAAATTTTTATAATATGAATATATTTTATCATTGTCTAAGCATGGCTCTGTTTGCAGAATCTCAGGAAACGTAATAACTTTTTCATTATTCCACTCTATCGTAGCCATACGTGCGACTCCGTTGCGTTCACCGTGCACAATGAGACAAACGTAGTGTGGCCGCTTCAACGCGTTAATTCCTGCGTTAATCTCTTTGATGTACCGACACTCGAGTTATCGTTCAACGGAAAACGGCATTGTTCTTGCCGTTGTAGAATTATCGCGTTAAGTAGTGGCCACACCTACATTCAACGCCCATCAACGCGATAATTAACGGCATTTCTCGTTAGTGTAGCCCGGGCATAAGAGTGAACGAAAAAAAAACTACACATACAACAATAATCCCAGTTTGTCCTTTTTAGGGTTCCGACCTCAAAAGGAAAAAGAAACCTTTATAGGATCTACTAGCTGACCCGTGCCCGCTTCGCTGGGGGTTTTTTCAAAATAAATGATAGCCCAAAAGAAGCCCCTAAGCTACATTATCCCTGAGCAACATAAACGCAGAGATAATTTATAATAATATTTATCATTAGGTAGGTACTCTGAAATCGCAACTAAACATGTATTATTTAATGCAGTTAGGCAAGTTAGTTACTCTGGTTTTATTTTTATGTTGCTCATGTTTGGGGTTCCATATAACTGATTCATTGTGAGAATCAATCAATGATCAATGTTTGCGGCTTGCGCCAAATTCCTTTGATTTGTGCACGGAAAACCGACACTATACGGCTCGTCGGCGAGCGTTGGCCGCAAACGCCAAATATATACAAAACGGCCCAGTAGCCCAGTACACGTTGGCCGAGTGCACTCGGCGAGCGCGCTCGGCCAACGTGTACTGGAGCCATTAGACATCAGTTTTATTCAGGCCGTACACATGCTAACGGGCGCTTTAATAAAGCGCGCGTCAACGCGCGCTTTGAGATCATTGGTTTCTACATGTTACCGTTCAGTTGAGCGCGCACTTTTGATACGGATAGACGTATTTTAAGGTTCGCTCAGTTCATCCAGAAATCGCTCGAAATGGAAACGGAAGCTTTTAATACCGAATTATTTATAGATGAAATAGAAAAACGTCCTGCGATAAGGGACATGACAAGTAGCGTTTATTCAGATAAGAACTTAAGGAGATGGGCTTGGGAAGAAAAGAATGTTCTTATTTCCTTTCTTTTTTTTTCTTTTGTTCCTAAACAAGTATTGATTTATAAATTTGTGTCTTGATTAATAACAACTTTGATTAATAAAAACTTACCTCAATGTAATTATGAGTTTTTCTTCTGGTGAAATACTATATCGCACAGCGTTTTTATTTGCTACGAGTTCATCGTTTATGAGAGTCAGTAAGTTATCAAATGACTTGAAGGACATTTTGAAGTAGTTAAAAAATTTGGGTTTGAATTGCCTTAACTTAAGATACAAAATTATGTACTGGCTTTCAGTCAGTCTGTATGAAAAAATTGGGTGGATCCAATATCTCCGTCTTCTGTCGCGTCGTTTCTGTCGTCGGTAAAAAAACACCGCTAAAACTGTTTCTACGTCCAACTTCGACAAATATAAAACTCAAATTAGCCAGGTCAAGGCGGCCGCGGCAACGCGCGTGCAACGCCTGACAAGCGCGCACCATGTGAACACTACACACAACTTTTACGCGCGTTCAACGCGCGTTGAGCGCTTGTCTGAACGTACACATATAGTACATAGTGTATTATCTATGGATAGAGGATGGAAAACAGGGTGACCATCTTTAAAATACAGATCCTGCCTTACTTTGGTTAAAAACCTGCCAAATCCTGCCAAAGTCTGAATTGAAAAATGCCTAAATACTGCTAACTTTATTTACCATTGTATTAAACTAAAAAAAGAAAAATACACATAGAGATGCTATATTTTTTAATTAAAATTAAACATATCTTTCGTTGGTTTGAATGCAATGCAATCGCCATGTTCAGCGATGCCTTGTTTAACACTTTCACTGTCCGATTTCCAGACACAATAGTAAGACAATAGCAGGGCCCTATATGTAGTGCACGGGACAGCGAAAGGGTTAACGTACAAGGTAGTCAGTAAATGTTTGTTTATAAATCTGTTTCGTGTTTTGGTCTTAAAATTTATTTGAGAAAATATTCTTTCGCATGTTGAATCCACTCATATTGTTTGATGTTTAAAGCGGACAGCCGGGGTGCCCAACTTGCAGTTACACAGTCTGGATCATCTTTAACTTTGGAGATCCATGATGAAAGTAAAAGATCTTGCTCCCACTTCGCTCTATACGCCCTTTTATATTTTTGCTTCATCACAGCCTCCTATAATTACTATCTTCCACGAAATATTATTAACAAGATTAACTTCTTGTTAATAACATTTCGTGGATCATTAAATCTAAGGCGATATTTAACTCGTGTAAATTCGTTTTAAGATTATCAACTTTATACACAAAAAATTTATAATACAAGAAATCGAGAAATACAGGGAAATCCCCAACATGCTGACCAAGTATCTAGTGCTGCCATTTAATAAGAGGCCAATCCTGCCAAAATGGCAGAAACCTGCTACACATGGTCACACTGATTGAAAAACAATTGCTTTTGAGATATAAATAGGCGGTAGTATGGAGTGTAGAGTAGAAGGAGGACCATCTCTGTATATGAAAAGTGTCCCTAAAAACGCGTCCAATAAGGGTGACGCTGCAGTAGCATAGGATAAATTAAAAAAAAAGCGCCAAAATTTATTAGAATAAGATGGAGAAATAAACAAGGACCGATCAATCCGCTTGGTTTTGTACTACGTAAATAGTTGAGGTTTTGTATACTGGCATTTTACTAACTACTGTAGTCATGAAATTTTTTAAATATTTTAATTCAGCTGACTTCACTCCGTCTACAACAGCTATATTCATATCGTAGTTTTTCAGACGCCAGCGCTATTGTGGTAGGTTTTGGAACCTCTATTTTCAGTATATATTGGGACACTTTTTCAACTTTCGCACCTTATAAGATGGTTCTCCTTCTACTCTACACTCCATAGGCGGTAGGTACTTTCCCTGGGTTACCAGATATTGTTCCATTTCCGCCGTTATGGGATTATTTATATTCACAGCACTTAAATTCAAATACAATATAGTTCTTTTATGATGTTCTTTTATAGTTCAGATGACTAATTCATTTCTCTCGAAAATACATACTGTGACTAAAAACTACGGGCGGAAACGGCGTAAAAACAGAATCATCATTCCGTATTCAACGGCGCATCGGCGATTTTACTGGACATTTATTGAACTCTTTGAATTTCGACGGCACTAAGTGAAGACGCTACTAGCACAAAGTGTGATATCGCTAATAAGTAGCAATATGTTAAGTATGTACTTAAATATTAATTAAGAATAAAAATATTAATTAATAGTCAAAAATTTCCTCGTGTCGAGTTTTATGTTGTTTTTACAAAAAAAATCAATAAATTTTTAACATTCCAGTCCATCACAAGTTCAGTGCTGAACACGGACCTCCGAAATGAAAAGGTTTCCACTTAGGTTTTGTAGTACAAAACACGGTTCTGAGCTAACTCCCGCGATTTCCTGCATTTCTTACTAAATTAATGGTTTGTGTGCGGCAAGTTGTGGCGTACAAGAGAATTAGTGACGATACGGGATGATACCACCCCGCGTCGTAATCGTAAGCAATAATACAAGAAGAGGATGGGGCAGCAGCACTTTCCTGATGAAAACTTAAAATAATAAAAAACTGCCAACCAGTATAACGCATATTTCCACACAGGCGTGGCAACTATGGGTATCCTATGAGGATATCTAGGGAAGGCCTTTTTAGGTAACTTACTTATGGTTGGGTGACTTAATCATGTTATCTAATGGTTAAGGTGGTAAAATGTTTTAGTTAATATACGTTGTAAAGCATCAACAAATGGTTTGTTTTTGTAATATGTTGGTATATAAAATAAAAACGAATATTTTATAATATTCTATTTTAATTTACCGCGCAGTGTAAGAATATCTGCTACCTCATATCATTCCATGAGTGATGTATGACGCGACATAGGGAAACAACAAAGAAGATAAACAGCAGCATTTTCCTAACAGCTAAATAAATAAAAAAGTGGTTGCCAACCCGCTTGCCAAGCGTTGCAACTATGGCAAATAACTATGTTCATGTTTATGAACATAGTTATTTGCCAGTGGACTTTCGATAGACTGCAAAGATATATATTCTATTTCAATGAAAATATATTGAAATTTAAAAAGGAAAAAGAACTAAATTTTGTGTACTTACCTTGCTACATATATATTTATCTATGGTACTTACACAACATATAGAAATACGAGTATTGACAATGTTACAGTAAGTAAAACAAATGAAAACACAATTATATATTAAATATAATGCAATAAAATTAAAATAAACAAACGATTATTTATTAATTTTTCATCACATTAATAAACAATAAAATTTTTGTCTTCTTTCTAGAGCATTGGTTGTAATTCTCGGTTTGAGTAGCTTTAGAATTTCTCAAAAATATGCATTTATAAACTTGATTTATACTTTTGCATGGCAGAAATTCTTGGGTGCTGGTTGTTAGAATCGCATTAGGAGGGCGTATATATATTATATGCCTTATTGTTTATGCCAAATCTTAACATTTTAAAAACTTGCATTCAAGACGCGCGTCGCGGCGTGTTCACCCGATGGAATTTAAGGTCACCGCCGACCCTCTCTCCCGCGCGCGTCTCTCCGCTGACCGCTCGGTCACGAGATGTGTGGGCAATCAATTGTTCGAGGTCGCCGTGTCGGTTAGAGGTCTGAAAGTTACTATCGAATCGTTAGGTGGCGTTAAGACCGCCTCTGATTGCGTTGTCTTATTTCGTGCGTTTTACGTGACAACTAGGCTTTCCTTGAGTTTTGAGTGATTAACTTAACTTCGATTGCCGTTAATTTGCGTCGACGAGTTGCTTGTGTGGCATTTTAATATCGTACGAAGGAATTTTTGCTTTGTCGGGTGGAACGCTAAAAATTTGTGACCCGAGAGGAGATCGCGTTCGTATTCAATTATAACTATGTGCTAAGTCAACATGGGACATTGAACATTGACAGACAGTTCTTAAGTTGTGCAGTGTGTCACTTGGTTTTAAGTTCGATTAACGTTGATTTAGTTAAATTTGAAGTTAATTATTAAATGTATAATAAAGTTGATAAATTAATATAGTGAAATAAAAGCAGAAAGTCTCAATTGGTGAACGCCCACTGGATGGATCGCACATTGTGGAGAAAAGCAGCGCCTGTGGGTCTGCTGTCCGATTACATCGGTGACGTCAGGTTACATTTACACACAATTTCTCACACCACTTACACACTCATATATTTACCACCTGACTGCGCCTTGTGGTCGACCCTACCTCCGGAACTCGGTAAGTTTGTGTTTGCTTACCAGCCATTACATAATGATTGTCCATAGTCCATTTGGGCCCGAACCCTCTGGTTGCCCGTCGAGTGGATCACTCATGGGCCCTGGTCCAGTCGACTTCTGTCGGGGCAACTGAGGGCCGTAACACTTATATGTAATATATTTTAATGGTATAAATAATAAGGTACAACTATACTACAACAATAAATGTAATAATTATGATAATTTCTATTTAATTGACATAAATAATGTAATAAAGATGTTTTTGACAAGAGACAGGTATTATACGTTAGCTATGACTTTAAGCTTTTGAATGACCGTTGAAATTAAGGAGCATTATCATGAAGAATTTACAATTTGGCGGTCCAAATATTTGACAAAATACATTACAAAAGATATTAAAAACATGAAATGTTACATTTTATATTCAAAACAATAGATATTAATCAATACAAGTAGCAAATCTAAGCACAAAAGAAACTTTCCGATGAAAGGTAATATTATCAATTTTTCGTTAATTGATGCTGTTGCATCCTAAAATGCTAACACTTACCATCTTTTTCACCTTCCCTAACAAAAACATGTATGTATATTATGTTTGTATATTATTTATACACATAATATGTATGTATATTATGTATACAAAGTAAGAACCTGTTAATGGCATTAAGGATTATTTTAGAACTTTTGTTTTTATTTATAACATGCTGTTGGTTCCATGATCAATAAAGGGAAATAATAGAAAAGAGAAAAAAAAATTGTAATATAAAAATAATATATGTACCAATAAAAATAAAATGTTTAAATATGAACGCATCTTTCAGCCTACCAATGAGAAACAATGAAGCTACTACGTTATTTAAAAAAAATAACTGCAGCCAATAGAATTTAAGTATTCATCTCACCGGTCAAAAACCTTTGCATGATTGGTCGAGCAATTAAACAGGTGCTATGCGTCATCCGCCATAACGTTGGAATTTGTGAAAGTGAGCTTTGTTTGCTTTATCGAAATTTACAAAATTTCGTTTTATTTCATTGTGGAAGTGTGTTAAATGTGTTTTAAATAATGAGTGAGTGGTACAGAATGAAGAATGGTTTTAATAACAAGCATAATTCATCGGAATTATCAGTGGAAACTTCTTGTGAGATGTCAGAGTCATTCAACATATTTTCGGACAATTTGAGCCCCATACCGGGTTCAATAGTGCCTAGAAAGTTGGATTTCAGTAGCATGGATGATGATGATGGTATACGGGATGCATCTCCAGCACCCGTGTCTCACAGTCCCCCATATAAAAGAGTTAGGGCTTTGAGGTAAGTCCTGTTACTATGTCATTAGTCTTACATAAAACACCACGATTTGCATGATTACGGCTGGTATGCAATTTATTGTTGATGATATGCATAATTAAAGTGGTACTTTATTTGTTACTGTTTTGGTTGTTTAGATAACAATTTGGTTTTGGTTATGACTCAATTTGCTAGTTAATTATTATTGCAATGTTTCAAAATCATTGGTGCTATTATTTCTGGATATCTTGTATCTTCGTAATTTGATTACATTTTGCGATAATTCTTATTATTTATTTGGAACAATCTAGAAATATATGGAACTTTTCATTATGTGATATGGTGCTGTGTCATGCTTCATTTATTCATTTTATTGCTTTGAAAATGAAGATTAATGATTACACTGGTAGTAAGTCTGCCCTGTATCAGCTATTTGATGAAATTTGGGTTCTATATTCTTTTTGTGTTTGTTTGATAAAATTTGAATATGACATGATAAATTAAAACTGTTGAGTTTCATAATGACTATTAGTAGTATAAGCAGTAAATAAGAGTATATCACACCTTTAGAATTGAAGTGGCTTGATCCAAAATTCTTGTTTTTTGGTAGATGCCAAAAATGTAATTGAAGAATTGGCCATTTTTTAGTTTTTCGATTATAAAGCCTGCTTTTCACTATGGGATATAATATAATATATATTACATCTCGAGATATAAATTAATATCGCTCACCATACTTTTGAAAGGAACCGTTTACACTGAGCTATAATATATATTACATCTCAAACTATAAATATTTTTTTAATCGACCTAGCGATATTTTCATATTATATTTCGCCCCATGTACGCCACACACTGTTTCGCACCACCGCAGAACTGTGTGCGGGGTACAGGGGGTAATCCAATGACGAACGCACATTGGTTAAAAGATATATCTCATAGTGTGAGAGCCAATTGTGGGATATAATTTATGTTTCGGGATATAATATATATTATATCCCATAGTGAAAAGCCAGCCTAATACTTTAGGCTAAGCATTTGATGTCACAATTTTTGTTATTAAGGATTTGGGTAGGAATTGTTTTAATGATTAGATACTAAATCTGTAAGTATAACTAGTTATAACCTTTGTTATTTAATCATTAAAGAAACAGATATCACATATTTTCCGAAAACAATTTAATATTACTGGCTTATTTGACTTTATGTCTATTTTTTACTTAAGAATACAAATAAAATTTTATCTTTTTAAAAAAAAGAGGCGATTAATTTCTGATGTTATATTTTTGATTGATGACTAATTTTAGAATATGCTAGTTTAATTATTGATGACCTGCTAAATTAAGGGAAAGTGAAAAACAGAGTATGCTTTCATAATCATGTAATTTGAAATTTCGCCTCACTAATCATCATTAAACACTAATCACAATCTTAAATAAAACACATATGTACTGCTACCAATATATATATTGGTCTTACTTATTAATTAGAAAATAATCAGACTAGAGAAAATGCCTTAATAAATGCTTTAAATATTTAGTATTGAGATCAGTCAGCTGTCACATAGAATATACCCAATTGGGTATAATTTACTATTACTTTTCTAATTGAAATTATAAAATATTTGATTCCTAACATATGGTTTAATGTAATAATTGCTATACAATTAAAGTGAGTTTATAAAAATCAATAGTTTTTTAATAATCACTGAATACTAAACCTTTGATAAAAGAATATAAATCCATAAAAACACTTCTTACCAGTACAGTAGAAAATAACAATAAACCAAAAGTTAGTTAGTTTGAATAACTAGCCATAAAATGTTTATAAAAATATCTTAGAAATAATTAACAAAGTAAAAAAAAAACACCTTTATAAAATGAAATCAGTAAAAAATTACATAAATGGATCCAACATTAAATGAGATCAAAATAGATGATTAAGTAGTCATTAATTATAAAACCGACTCATAAAACCAGGCATATGTACTACAAATTGCTTTAGTTCTTATAAGATAACTCAAATTTTTCTTTTTATTTCCTGCAAGCTTTATTTTGTTACTAATTGCTTTCAATAGTGGAATTTCACACGCTTCTTTCATTTTTTTTTATTACACATATTTACTTTCTTAAAATCTTTATCGGCTTATGTATTTTTATAGTAAAATACTGTTCTCTGACCCACTTAAAAGTCGCCCACTTGAGTCTATATAAAAATTGTAATCTATCTCTTTAACTCTAAATGGGGTGCCTGATTTTCTAGCACCTCTTAGTAAAAGGCACATCCCACCAAAAACATTCTGTAAAAAACTAGCCAAGTCTCGATGGAGCTGCTTGTTTATCTCTAAAAAGTAATGAAATCTAGACAAAATCGTGCCAAGTCTAAGGTTCCTTACTGCGATTTCTTTATTATTATAGTTAATGTTGTGTGACCTGGCCGTTGAAGGGTACACAAGGGTACAAAATCAGGTGCTACATGACACCATTGCACCAATCTGTCACCAGAACCGCTACCCATTGACGATGGAAAATTGCCACTTGGAAAACGTTGATTGAATAACCAGTCAATTGTAAGCTTGATAAAGTTGCGTTTACACGTAATGTTGCACGTAATTGTATTTACACGTAATGTTATATCTGTTGCAACTACCTATGTTTGTTAAGCGAGATAATAGCCCATAGTGGTATTGGTAATTGGACGCTAGTGTCTCATTTTAAGCGGTTGTTGATTGTGCAACACATGCATTCAGCATTGACAATGCTGACTTCTGCTCTCTTCTTTTTGGAGCGTCAAATCGACCACCGATCTAACATAAAAATAGACGTGCAGACGGACATCTATCAATGATTAGAAGTCCGCCTATACTGGAAATATTTTTTTATACTGTTTGTTTCAGGTTCGCCTATACAAAAGTATTATTGAAATACGCAGCTTTATCAAGCCTACAATTGTCTGGTTATTCAATCAACGTTTTCCAAGTGGCAATTTTCCATCATCAATGGGTAGCGATTCTGGCGACAGATTGGTGTAATGATGTGTATGCAATGTAGCATCTGGTTTTGTACCCTTGTGTACCCTTCAACGGCCAAGTCACACAACATTAACTATAATAATAAAGAAATCGCATTAAGGAACCTTAGACTTGGCACGACTTTGTCTAGATTTCATTACTTTTTAGAGATAAACAAGCAGCTCCATCGAGACTTGGCTAGTTTTTTACAGAATGTTTTTGGTGGGATTTCACTGCTTTTTGTAGAAACGTGGGCATATTCATTTATTTTATTAGATTTTCTTATTTGACACATTTTTTTTCTTTTTTTCCGGTTCTGATTCTTATACAGTAGCAACAGTTTTTCGTATTGCCCATTCGCGTTCATTATTTAGCCTTTTAGACGGTTTAATTTCTGAAAGACCTGCGCGGTATTTACGTCTAAGTCGGTTGTATTCGGTGATCGCTGAAGCTTGAGCTTTTATACTCTTGAAGTCAACATTTATGAGGTACACCCCATGAAGATTGGTTACTCGTGAAAGCGCCACGTAGGCTTGGCCACAAGAGAATATGGAGGTGCCAATATCCATGAGGGCATTTTTTAGACTTAGACCTTGGCTCTTGTGAATTGTTAGGGCATACGCCACACAGATTGGGATTTGTTCTCTGTACACGTATTTTTTTTTATGTACCAATAGTAGAAGGGGGCATTACCATATCTCTAATACATCTGAGACCAGCTGAGGGTTCTTCATCAGATACTTCAGACCTTCGATTTTTAACATCAAATGAAGCCGCCCACCAAGTTGAATATTTTTGTAAAGGCGGTATGTCGATCTCTTCTAATAGTTTGGTTGGGCTCTTGTGTTTTCTAATCAGGGTCACCAGGTACTCCAGATCTTCGATTATCCTTGTTTTTATAGTTTTCCCTTTATGTGGCCATTAAACCCTAACTCTGTACCAAATTTCAGCTCTCTGAGTTTATGGGAAGCACTAGTTCTATTCTGATGATCATGAGTGAGTGAGTGTCATAAATGCGAAAGTTTGCTTTCGCTTAACTTCGGAACTAAATGACCTACAGACTTGAAATTTTGGATTTTAAGTATGTGATTATAGCTTACTGGGTGACGAAAATTTCTGCGTTCTGATCTTATCCGGAGGTTCTCAAATAGGGGCCTGAAAATGCGGCGAAATGGTTCCAGTAAAGGATGGTACGGCAGTGTTCGCTTCGCGCTCGACTTGGCGGGGGCACTGCCGTGCCCCCCGATATTGTTGAGGTATATAAATAGGACCAGATCTTAGGTTTCTTTTTTTCTATTAAACTATATGAATTGTCCCCCTTGTTCTGTGTATGTCACATAACCAAATATTTATAAGTTATTGATTGAATGTTGTTAAAATGGGCCCCTGCATACGAGTATAAACTGGCAATATATTTATTTTTGTTTTCACCATTACAATTATCTGAATAAAATATTACATTTAAAGTTTTGTCTGAATTATTTTCACTAATATACTTTAAATAATCAAAAACTGAGGAACCTATTTTATTTGTCCCTTTATCACCCTGTTTTTTGTTCCAAAAGTAGCAATATACTTCTTTATATACACCTAATTTACTATCACTTTACTGTTTATTGGTATCTTTTAATTTATTTGCTAATTCAATTATGGTAAAATGATAACAATTAGGTTCTTGATCTACTATAAAAAGATGAAACATCTCGTTTTGTACTAATCATTGGAGCTTTTAGATTGTAAACAGCACAAATGTTGGCTTCGTTCTCACTTCTTTTTTCCTCTATACACAATTTTTTTTTAATATGCTTCTCTTATTTTTCTTGAATACCTAACTTTTCATCTGCTGATGCTAATTCATATCTTGTACATTTGGTCACACAAATCTTTTTTGGGCTTGAAAAAGCTAATATTAAATTCAGTTGTAAACATTAAGTAAAAACCCCAGTACGGTCTGTCAGGTTTGTTTTATTTGGTTTGATTAGTATTAAAGTCCCTACATAGTTCTTTTATACTC